TCTCTATTAGAAAGCATATACCTGAATCTGTTGCAGTTGTTTTTTAGAGCAATTTAGTTGCGTTTCAGTTGGTCTGATACTGCTGCTTGGTGCTCGCTGCTGCTGCACTGCTGGGAAGAGCTCATCTTTAACAGTGATTTGTGTTTGTCAGAGTGTTTGGTGGTCATGGGGCTGATTTCCATATCTCCATTTCCTTCATGCCCAGTGCTCAAAGCACAGAGCATGGGAGCCCTTGTGCTAAGCAGTGTCAGGGTTTGCCCTTCAGGAATGCTTCCTCCTGTACATCTGGGAAAAAAAAGGGTAAATTACAGCCAGATAAGAGGCTTCCTTTTGAGTGCCCCAAAGCTGTGGTATTTAGATAATGCACAGTCATCCCGTGAAACTTAGCCTTTGAGAAGAAGTTGCAGCTCTGATTTCCCTAAGCAAACTTTCCATTTTGCTGGGAAAAGTTGCTGTTTTTAAAGGCTATTTCATGCCTTTATTTCTTTGACCAGCACTAGCAGAACACCAGATGTCTGATACAGAGGGTTTCCAGATTTTTCTGTCGCTTCTTCTGGTTATCTCACTTCTCAAAGTGTATCAGTTCAAAGTTTCCTGCAAACGGTTCTGCCTGCAACAGCAGATTAGAAATGCATCCATGATGTCCATGATGTTCACTTATTTGTTAATAGCATCTTACCACTTTAAAGTGCTTTTAAAACTTCAGTCAAACTCTGAATCTCCTTGTTTCTTGTTGCTTTTATTCAAATACAGGGAAAATGAGGCTCCACGGGTAGAATCCGTCTCTGTTCGAAGGTGCTGCAGTAGCTGGTCAGGTGCCTGTGATCCTAGTTTATGAGAAATAGCAGAGTACCTGCTGATCTAGATGATTGTTGGAAGAGACCTTGTTTCTAACACACTGGAAAATGGTGTCTGGTGCCTGAGGCCCATCTGGCTGGGATGACATCCCCATGCTGTCATAGTGAATCCATAGTAAGGCACACTGGGAAATCACAGCAACGCTGGAGCTCCCTCTGAAATCCATCCATCCATCCCGTGAGGTATTTTGTGGGATTCATACAAAGTATTCCCTCCAACACCATAGCTTGTGCTGCCTTGACAAAGTCCCTGTCTTTATGCAGGGCCAGGACTTCTCAGGTCAAGGGCAGATCAAGGAGCCTAGCCACGGTTGCTTCTTAATCTTCTAAATGCCAGATCTGTGCCCGCTGCCTGGTGTGGTTTGCTGCAGACAGCAGCTGACGGATCACACCATCTCTGATCCACCCTGAGAACTGGGAGCTGCAGTGGGGTCCTGACTCCTGCCCTGGTAAATCTGCTCCATTAATAGCTATCAAAGAGCCTGAAGTTTCCATCCGAACTTTATCTGGCTTTGCAGCGAGCTGGAGGATTAGAGGCTGTTACAGGGGAAGGGAGGGAGCAGCCATGGCTCACCCCAAATAGCCTGACCTATGACGGCACGTACCAGCCCGGGGAGGGGAGTTGTCCTGCGAGCTCACGGGTTATTAGCAGGGAGCATAGACATGCCTGCAGTCAGCAGCACACCCAGGGCCATCTGCTCCATCTCTGGCTGGTTTAGAGGGTCCAGAGGGATTTGTTACTACAGCTTGATGGGAGAGCTGGGAGAAGGCTTGAGGGCCAGCCTTGTGGAGCCATTGTTTTATGCTGCTCAAGTCACTTAGGGTTTGACCTCTGGGCTGTTGGTATGGGGCAGATCTGTTTCAGAGGGAGAGCGGTATGAGGAGGTAACTCCTGCCCTGCTGCAGCCCTGGGCTGTTATCTCTCTGCTGTGCCACAGCAAGTAACAAAGGGATCAGAGGAGGCTGTATGGTGGGACATCTACAAGGCTCAAATCTTCATCAACCAGATGGGGGGGATAGTGTAGGAAATAAGAGCAGGTTTCTTTGGTGTGTCCAGGGGCTCACTTCTCACAGCCTCTCTCTTGTAACTGGTTTTGTTTCCCTTGCCTTGTTCCTCTGCTGGCATCCCTGAGTCCTCTGTTGCATCTACCTCATGTCACACCGTGGAAAAATGCAGGGTTTCTTCTGACTTCCTCCCCCTTCATTCAGAGCTGCTCTGCTGAGCAGTTTTTTCCTTATAGATAGGCTGCGAGTTAGGCACGCTCTTCACAGTGTTTTGCAGGATTTGTGCAGAGCACCTTAGCACCATGGAGCATGATCTTCCCAGCTGGCCAGATCTCCAGACTCGGTGTGCTTGTGCCCCAAGGGGCAGTGGAACTGCAGATCAGCTTCTTGGACATGCGGGAGGCAGGCGTGCAGCCACTGCAATGAATAGTCTGTGGCTGCTGCTCAGTGTTTTACACCAGGAAGCACTGAGGCTCTTCTAAACCTTTGACCCCTGCCGACATACTCCAGATTCCTCCCAGTTAAACTGTCTCCTTCACTCCCCTCCAGGCCTGAAAGCATCGCATCTCCTGACTAGCCAGACAGATGCATTGCCCCATAAAAAGCTCCTTTATATCCCCAACAATTACATTGATCTGCACAATGCGAACTTCATTCTGCCTTGGGATTTGCAGCTTGTGTACTTTATCATTACTAGTGATGGGTGACACTGGTGTGATGGCTCTTTGGAGATCTAGGAAATCGCCCGGCAGGTGGGAAATCCATGGTCTATAGATCTGGTAGCCTTGGGGAGTACAGCTGAACACAGGGCCTTTGAGCAGCACCTGTTCTGGAAGAGGTTCACCATACTACCTGATGAGAAAGATGAGGCCACACTGAATCCTTCTCTCAAGCTGTCATGGCAGAGAAATACGTGGTCTCTGAAGCAGTGTTGCTGTGGCATGCACTCCCCTTCACTGGAACAGATGGAGAAGCATCAGTGGCTGGTGTACAGGGCTCTGCCTGTCCAACCAATGTTTCTGCTTCTGCTCTCCAACATGCTGTTCTGTGCCAAGAGTTCGAGAGGAAGAAGGGAATATTTGTGCTGTCTTCGTCCTGCTGCATAGACAGGTTTATCAAGCATGTTAGGCGCTTGTAGCTGCGGTGTTTTCTGCTGTTGCTTGAGCTGTAGAAAGTTCTGCTTCTAATTCCAGAGGTTTCCAGTTCAGCCCTTGGTCACAAGGAGGGCAGTCTTCATCTGTGTGTGTCCTTTCCCCCACTTTTGCTGATACTTGAATACCTTCTGGGATTCCTGGAGATGAAGAGGCTGTTGAACAGAGGGAGAACGAAAAAGAGTGATTCCCTCCTAGACATTAAATCCCAGCCTAAATAAAGGGACTTACGAGCCGGGTGCTGAATGACTGCACTGATTTATCATGTCTAGCACTAGAGTCAGTTATCGCGGTCAGGGGTGAGCTGAGAACATGCATGCTTATATGGGGGAGAGGGGAACTGAGATTAGCCAAATATGCACAACACAAATGTCCTCCACCTTGGCTGTGTAGAAAAGATGAGAGCGGGCCAGTAGGCACATAGGCAATTTGACTAAATGATCATAGGTCACTTCCAACTGAAAATATTCTATTCTACATCCTGTTGCATGGACCTTCTCAATGCCATTTTGGGGACCAAACCATTTTGGGGATGAAAGTCCGATCCCTGCCCTGCAGAGGAAAAGTCCTCTTTATTCTCTGAGAAGGTCTGCAGGCAGCAAAAGGAGCTGGAGGAAGCTAGTTTGGGTGGTTGTTATGGCTGACTGGCAGCTCCTCAGAGCAGCTCTCTGGAGACATTTACTAGTGGCCTTCCTGTAGACCTGATGGCAGTAACACGCACCTGTTTTTACATCTTCACCCTCTTCTCAAGAGGGGCTGAACATGGTGGCTGAACATAAAGGACTGCTGTGCTCAGCAGAGCAAGAGAGACTTCAGCTTTCCAGTGCTTCCTGCCAAGAGGCAGTCATGTTCTTGCCAGCCAGGGCTCCCTTAAATTTCAAGGTGTTCCCTTAGCACCCTTTCTAGCTGGACTACATCTCTCCAGAACTACCTCCTGTGAGTGAGGGCTGGGTGAGCTTTTCTCCATTTTTACTGGTCCTGTGAGACAAAGCTTTGCTTTTCTTTCTCCTTTTTTTTTTTTTTTCTTTTTGGCATGGTCAGGTTTTATTTTCAATTAACAATGATGCTGTAATTCAGCTTAACCACCTATAGTTTACATCCTTGTCTCCCTGCTGCTGGAGTTGCTTGGGGTATGACAAATAACACCTGCCCTCCACCATAGCTGCAGTTTGCCCAGCCTTTTTGTGATGGACTTGTTCCTCCCCAGAAAATGAAACGCTTTCCTGGGAACAATCCACTTCGGTGCATGGAGAGATCATTGAGAGAGAAGGGTGATAAGGGAAGTAGTCTGATAAGGATGGCTTTTTACAGGCTGCCGGGGCGCTGTGCTGTGCAGGGAGGTGGTGAGAAGAACAGCACTGGCTGCTGACACTCTCAGACGTGACACTTAGATAGATTGAGTGCCATGTAGATTCATGGTGCAAGGTCCCCAGTTGCTTTCAATAGCCAGCTCCTGCCAAGCATGTGCATAGTGAGAAAAGGTGGAAAGAAGGTGAGACTTTCACTGTGGCAGCCACCTTCTCTCTCTAAGGAGGTCTCTGAGTGGCTCCCTGTGTTTGAGGACAGTCCAGCTGTTCGGGGAGCAAAAAACCCCACCCTGTCTGGACCAGAGACTAGATTTAACTTAGGATAAGCGTAGCCACACAAGGCATATTAGGGATGTGGTTTGTTTCTTGCTAGTCCAGGAGATAAACAACTGGGTTGCTATTGCCTTGTCTGCAAAAAGCATTAAATCAGTGAAGGATGAACCTCAGTCATCCTCTTTGGTATAGCAGAGTAAAAGAGGTCTGAGTTCATCCTGATTTGTCTGTAAGTCTTTTTTCAAACTATGACAGTGACATATTCCAGAAATTCTGAGAGCAAGAATAAGAGACTATTTAATGTTTCTTCTTTCAGCTTCATGAGCAAGAACTTGGAACTGTTTCTTTATCTCTGCTTTCCTGTATCTGTGTTTGAAGTCTCCTATCTTTGTCTTCTCTTTCTGCAGGTCCTTCAGAAGCTTGGGAAGGCAGATGAAACAAAAGATGAACAGTTTGAACAGTGTGTGCAGAACTTCAACAAACAGCTGGTAAGATGATTGGTGATATGTAATTACATCCTGATTTTCAGTATTACCTTCCAGTCATCTGCTGCAATGTTCAATTAAAACCCATTAAATTAAACGTTGCCGTAGGCTTATTAAAGTGACCCACAACATGTAGCTCTTCTTCACTGGGTCATCTAGTGTCCCTATTATGGAGTCAGTGAGAACATATGCTGAAAAATAACACTTATTCTAGACCCAAGTTTAGGAAAAGATAGCTCAACCAGAACACTTCCTTCAATTAGCCGTTGCTTTGTAATGTAGTTTTTTCTGCCGGGCTGGAAGCAGAGGTATAACAGCAACATTGTGTCTCTGAAAGATGGGTAGGATGGGACACAGATTAGAAATCAAAAGTGAAATGAAACAAGGCAGTTTCAGTTTTTTAAGTGCAGCGGAGCGAAAAAGAGACATAGAAAGCAAAAGATGAAAAGGGAACATCCTTCCATGGCTAAGATATAAATTTAACTTCCCCCCCAACCTTGCACAATCACTGTGTTCAGGCCTGACTCATTCTTTTGCATGTCTGTTTCATCCCTGTATTTTAGTGCACAAAAATATTTTAACAGTGTAGCAATTTTTCCCCACCCTCCTACTTAAACAGCAGTATGTTTATTTCTTGAACTGGGTGTGTGTGGGTTTTTTGTGGATTTTTTTGTTTGTTTGTTTGGGGTTGGTTTTGTTGTTGTTGTTTTGGTTTGGTTTGGCTTGGTTTTATTTTGTTTGTATCTAGAGCTTTCAGCTACCCAGAGAAGGGGAAAACATCAGTTACCCCAAGGGATTTGCACCCTGGTGCTTGGTGTTAAGGGAAGTGCTGCTTCTGTTTTATGTCAGGAAATGTGTGCCACACCAAAGCTCAGGTGGTGTTGAAGCATCTGAGCCATCTTTTAGCCCTTTTGTGCCCTGACATCTTTAGGACCTTTTTCTGGAGCTGTTACTGGCAGCTGCATCATATCTGTTAAGACTCAGCAGATGTGGTTCTGTGTCACAAAACCAGCTGAGAAGGGATTTGCCACAGCTGAATATAATGGAAATCTTTCAGTCTGACTTTGACTTATGTCTAACCGGAGCTGACTGCAGATTCCTGGAGACTAACACTGATTCTCTTGGCAGTGATAGTAGCTGTTGCTCCAGGAGTTTGTGCAATATCTGTATAGTATGTCCACCAATGATGTTCTCTTGTACACAGAGGAATACAGTTTAGCTTCTTTCTAATAACATAACATTACCAGATGTGACTTTTCTGTACCATTTTTAAGTATTGGCAACCAGGAAAAATTTCTCCTTTTTTTAAAGGAGAAATACTGAAAAACTCAAATCTAAACTTCTTGATCTGGCTGTCTGGTTCCAGCGGTGTGCCGAGAAGCCTGTATCCCTTACAGCTGAATTTCTTTTCCCGTCTTGCAGGGGCAGGCCACAAACTAAATTATCTGGATAGTTTATCAAAGGAGCTGGAGGCTGCTCTGCATTTGCTGCTTGGGGGTCTGTTGGTTTTGCTTTTGCCCTCCTTTTCCCTATTACTAAAATAAATGCAAACACTGCCTGTTTTACAGTGCAAACCATAAATGTGAGTTAGCTGGATTGCTAGGATATCTAGGGCTGAGGAATTGTTATGATGCCAAGCAGACTCGGAGGAAAAAAACTTTAGCTGTATCTGCATATATACACATTTGGTTTTATATGCATGATACGTGTGTGTAGTATAGCTACATGTGAGATTTCTAAGGCCTTTCCTTACAAAGTCTGCTCCAATGGGAAATGTAAGTCTGGAGAAAAGCTGCTGTCTTGCTGCAGGCTTGTGACAGAGCAGCTCTCCCGTGGAACTGGCCGGGCTGTGATCAGGCAGTGCCCTTGTTTGCTGCGTTGATTATTGACTCCTCTGACTCTAATGACTGCGTTGGGCCACTTTGACACATGTTGCCGTGTGTGGGCTCTCAATGAATGGAGAGCGGGTCTAAAAGTCACTTATTCATTTTCAACCAAAGCATCTTATGGTTCTCTCAAATGGTGGTTGAGAGAAGCATGGGGAAAGCATTGCACTTCCCAGCTCAGTCCATTCAGGCTCATAGAAGAGCACCACTTAGAGGCCTCTAAATGGTAGGAGCTTTTTAGCTTAAACAGGTGGATTTGCTGTGTGACAAATGAGCTGGGCATCACCACGCTTCTGCAGGGCTACAGGGCTCGCCTGTCTCTTGAAGGCTTGACAAGCAGCACAACTGGCCTCCTTATTACTCCCTCATGATAGATTATCTTTGGCAATTAACCTCCCAAAAAGTTCATTCAAAGGCTCCCCCCTCCTTCCCTTTCCCAGTGTCACTTATGTTCAGGCACAAGTACGAGGATCTGTCCTGGAAATTGTCCTTGCAAGACCAGGGAGCAAGAGGCCTGCTGCAAAGGTGGTACACAGCCCCTGCCTGAGGTGTGCTGGGCTTTGGCTTCTCTTCCCCCACATTTGAAATGCTCACTGGAGAGACAGAGAGTGGGAGGCTGGTGGCAGCCCTTACACCTGGCACCGTGTTGTGTTTCTGCCTGGCAGAGTGGCCGGGTTTTGATACCCTTCATGAGCTGTCACTCGTAGAAGTTCTGGGGGGGGTTCACAGCGTTTCACACCAAACGCATGAGAGGTAAGCTGCTGCTGGCATGGGCTGCCTCCATCTCTGCCTGTACCCCGTGGTGTTGGGCACAGCTTCAGCCTGCAGGGCAGGCAGCGTGGACTTGATCTTTGCTCTTGCAGCATACGTTTAGCTGTGGACCATTGCAGTCAGTAGCTCAGAGAGAGACTTTCTTTCCAGGCACGAGCCTTTCATGCCCAGCAGTTCCCATTTTAGCCCTATGTAGCAAAATAAGTTTAACAGCTTGCCTGCTACCCCAGGATGGGAGCTTCTCATCAGTTGTTCATGCTTTGTGTCTTAACAGCTCTGAAGGTCTGCTGAGTGGGGGCTTACCTGGTGATGTTAGTTCAGCGCTTCCCCCACCTTCCTTTATAGTTCCACAGTCTGCTGTTCCAACCTTATATTAATTTTATCTGGAACAGCACATTACCTGCCCCTCTCAGGTGTAGAACATCCCTCCTGATAATAAAAATCCTTCCCATTGGAACTGCAAAACCAGGGAGATTACCTCAAGGAGTTGCAGTCTAATATTAGGATGAAATAATTTCTTCTGAAGACTGGGGAGAAAGGGGCTTTAGGAAACCTGTCTGCTACCAAGAAACAGCTCTATGGAAAATTACATACTTAGCTAGGGCTTGGCGGAATATGTTTCAAATAACAACCCCCAAACAAAATAAGAAAGCACAGAAAGATACCAAACCACTCTTATGTTTTTCTTTCACAGAGCTATAATAGGTGGTTTATTAGGTCTTTGGAGAGAGAGCTCTTCCAGCCTCCTGAGCATAACACTTCTATTTTTAAATATGCATATTCATGTACATACTGTCCTTCGCATTATACCTGGTTGTGTTATAGGCTCACAGGATTGAATTACACTGTGATTGCAAGTATGGCAATGTCTGCTCAAACAAGACAGCACTTGTGTGTTTGAGTAGAACATCTTATTGTGGTCACTTCTGCATCAAGACAAAGTGTTATTGTACCTGTGTGAAGGTTTTAAGTCAGTTTGTTGGTGCAGGCATGAGAAATGAATATGGGGTTCAGAATCAGCACTGATCTTCCATTTTTGTCCTAGTTTTACTTTTGTTCTGTCAAGTTTTGTTACTCTGATATGATACACTATTTCTTCTTTATTTATGTTCTTGTAATTTAAAAATTACTCTGCTATTAGATTTTTTTTTAAACAACTTTAGATTAAACCCTACCTCTGTAACTTCCCTCTGCACACTCTTAAACTCTTCAATAACTGGGAAGTGGATTAATTTTTCAGATTCCAGTTTAACTCTTTCCTCGCCTTGTAGCAAGCCAGGGAGCTGCTACACTGGTAGTGAAGAAATAAAGCAATGGAAATGCCAAAGACGTATTTGGATGGGAACCCCAGGTGCCCAGGGGATTCATGGCAAAACTCTGAACATGGGTCTCTCTTTGAAAATCTTTCTGCCTGCAGGTCTTGCAGGCAGTAGAGGCTGTTCACTTTCCCTGGCATGCGTGATACTTTTAAGATGCTTAGGTAACCCCATAGTTGTGGAGATCAGCTGTAACTCTGACTTTAAACACCAGCAAGAGATGACTAAGAAAGACCATCCCGGTTGCAGGATGCAGCGCTGCATATTGGCTGACTGCACATTGGAGCAAGACGAGCGGTGTGAAGGATGCCTGGAGAACACAGAAGGCCAGCTGTGCATTGCTGCAATGATGTGCTCCTGTATTCAGGCCCTGACTTGAAAGTTTCTCAGATGGTCTACCTAAAAATCTTGATTTGATGTTTAATTGTGATGGCAGTATACCTCCCAGAGGATTATTTTGTCCCTGTGACTTTGAGACTGGGCAGTGACACTTGAAAAGTTCACGAGTCTGGGTTCTGTCATGTGCTGCTGTGGCAGGACTCAGGCAAGTCTGGGCACAATTTTAGAGGTGGTTTCTGATTTTTAAATGCTATAATTTTGAGAGTTACAGTTCTAACATTGCAGTGCCCAAGTATGTGGTGGGCAAGGTCTGCAGAGCACCTTACCTGCTGAATACTTTCTGATAACCTCAATGATGAATGTTGAAATTTGGTCATTCTTAAACGTGATGTAACTGCAGGATGGTAACGTATCCATCTGAGGGACTTCACATGATGGTTTCTTCTGTGCCATTTCCTCTTGTGTTCTGATATCTCATGTTGCCAGTTCCAGTCTGTGATTTCCAGCATGGACCAATTCTAGGCAGACAGCGCTGCTTTCCTCTAATCTTTTCTTCCTCCCTGTGCTGGGCACAAGCAAACACATACTACAGCTTGATTGAACTGCTGCTTGTCAGCTCAGCCTCCCTGATGGTCCTCTGCGCGTGTGCTCTTTGATTACTCTGGTACCTCTTCCCTGGTGGTTTCTGATTGCACTGCTAGGAAAGTATCACCTGCCCAGGTTTCCACATTCACCTTAAGCCAGCAAAAAGGTACATTTGTTTACTCTGTGTTTTAAGAACTCCTAGGACTTTTGCAGCAGATGTGATCATTATTCCTTTCCTCTTGTGCTCTCTTTGGGTCCATTCCAAATGCTTCTCCAGAGTAGGAGACTGACTTTCTTTTATTAAAATGGCCAGCTCTTTCCCATCCTTCGTTTCCTTGTTGATGGTAGTAAGAGAAAAGAACAAATGTGAACTCATCCAGAACTTTAGAGGCAAGGAAAACAAATTGGGCCACAGTGTTAGACACAGATGGATTTCTCCACAAAGCTATGCTAGTGCTGCCACTTCAACAGCTGGGCAGCTTTAGCCTCTGCTTAGAGAACACAGCTGCACTGAGAGCACAAAGGATCACAGCATGAGCCCAGTTGAGGCAAGAGGTGCCTGAGTGGTGGGGAGGGCTGATTGGAGACATCTGCCTTTGAAGCTTGTAGCTCTGAGGCAGCTGTCAGAGATGTCCTGTGAGCTCCCTGTCTCTGGAGTTGTCTTCAGCTGTCAAAATTCATTATGCTGGGGGCCCCCCAGTGGGACATAAACTGGGAAAGTGGGAGGAATGGCAGCAGGCTCTGAGAAAGGTGTGAGGTGTAGTTGGTTGCTTTCCTGCATTCTTGTGTTTGCAGCTATGTTGGGGGATAGTGGAGATCCAGTGAGATCCCACAGGGTAAGAGAAACAAGAGAAACCCTTTTATAACAGACATCTTTGTCTCAAACTTTTTTCTGTACTTGCATACTCCAGAAGTTGTGTCCAGAGGTGTCCTCAACGTTTGTTCCTTCTCTTGCTTTGGTGTGCTCTGTGGTGTTGATCAACTTCTCAAGCCTTGCTTTTCTCTTCCTTTTGTTTCTTTTTGTATAATGTGACTGTCTGGATTTGGGAGTATTTTCCTGTCTGCTTTGCACCACTGTCAGTGACACATGCTAAGGTAGAGTGGAGCTGGGCCTGACTATTCTTACTCTAGTGCAGGAGAAGAGTTGTATGGGGAGTGCATGTATGTGAGTGTGTCTGAGCCAACTTTGCTGTAAAAATCTCCATGACCCTTTCTAATCTGGTTTCTTCTACTGTATTGACCCATGTCATCTGAAGACTCAAACTGGCAAAACAGCCCAGCTTCTGGTTTTAATCCTTTGTTTCCCAGTGACCGAGATCTGCTGCTGGCAGGCCACCTCCACAGTGAAGCTAAAGAAAAAGATGATTAATTCTGTATCTGCAAGCCCTGCTGCACAGGACAGTTTAAACAGGAAGTTTGGGCAGGTCAGAGGTCCCTTGTACCCACTTTGCACTGGGGTTTGCAGTACGGCAGGAAAAACTGGTACAAGATAAGTTGGTTGTATCTCTCTATATATCCTACAGATTCCCTCCAGTTATGTTTGTTGCATAGACCCACTGGTCCTTGTCTTACAAACTAATTGTTGCCCTTAGGACCTTTGCTAGTTGCTGGTATAAAATCAAAATTCTAAAGCTGGCTCTGCTGGCAAGAGCAAATCACAACGTTACCCACATCAAGTTACTTGGTACCTTGGTGGTGTTGTTGGCCAAATATGCCTGTAGGTCACCATCTGAAGGCTTACCAAGTCAGAGGGCTGCAGTCTCCCTGTTAACATTTGTTTTGTGTGGTCATGAGGCCAGCATGTAGCCCACCTGCAAGACCATTTTTCTTTATTTAGAAATGCTTGATGACTCTTTCTTACGTCCTCTTTACGTGGGAAAATAACTGATGGTCTTCTCCTTACATTCACAGTCCGAGGGCACGAGGCTGCAGAAGGACCTCCGAACTTACTTGGCTTCCGTAAAAGGTAAGGTCTGCATAAACAGAGAATGGTTTCCTCTCTAGCACTTACCTATGCAATGAGGTTTCTGCAGCCATCCTCTTCCTGGTGTTTCCTCAGGTGAGAGTTGTAGGAAAGGTCAGCCGGTGGGGGGATCTTTCATAATCCTTCAGGACCAGCTGGGATGGAATGGGGTTATGCTTCAATGCCAAGCAGATGGTGCTGTCCTAGCAGACAGACTCTCATATCTTCTGCTGGAGGAGGATGAACACAAAGAGTTTGATGCAACTGCATCCTTGGCTCCTTTCTCCCTCTGATTACCTTCCATCTCCATGTTACCAAGGGTGAGACATTCTGTGAGGAAGAGCTTAGCATTTGTTATAAGCCATTCACCATCACCTGTATCCTCATTCCTCAGGATAAGGGTTAAACTGTGAGGAACACGCTATTTCCCTCTTTCTGAAGCAGTTCCTTCTTCTTTCCTAGCTATGCACGAGGCCTCCAAGAAGCTGACAGAGTGTTTGCAGGAAGTTTATGAGCCGGATTGGCCTGGGAGAGATGACACAAATAAAATAGCAGAGGTAAGACTGTCCAGGATGCGGGGTCACCAGACTTGGTTTGTCAGCGGAGATGAGCTTTGGAAGCTGTATCTGTGTGGCACATTTCATCAGCCATTTGACTTTGTAGAAGACTTAGAGATACAAACTCAGCATTGGGAGGAAGGGAAAGCTGAAGGGATGCAGCCTGTGTTTTTGTCTGTGTAGGCATTGTCCCCAGATGTGTGAATGCTGCACAGAGCCATATGCTTTAGCACACAAAAAATTTGTTCCCCCAATAGTGGCTAAACAGGGACATAAGATGCCAGAAGAGAGACAATAGGACCAAGTAGATGTATTGCTTATGCCCTGTGCAAGAGAAAGGGGAAGCTAAATCTGTGGCCAAAGCATGGTCAGAGCAGCCATTGTGTAGCTGCAACAGCTTCCCACTCACAGCAGTACCACCAGCTGCCATATTTTAGTTGCCACCTTGTTTGGCTGAGCCATGTGTCACCCCAACCTGCTGCTGTTCTCATCCCTTTGTGAGGTGATGCCTGTCCAGCTTGCCCAGGTGTTTTCTGTGGAGCTTAGGGCACAGCCTGTCACTTGACAGCTTGAATCCCCCTTGGCATGTGTGTGTGGTGGGTCCAGATGGAAGCAGGCGCCCTCTGCTCTCTTGCTCAGCTGTTCTGCTGAGCAGCAGCTGTGGCAATTCAGCTCCATGGATCCATCTGCCATGAGGCTGCAGGACTGGGCTTATTGCAGCTGTCTGTGGTGTTGGAGCAGTAGGGAAGGAACAGAGAAGAGAGCTGGAGAAGGATTCTTCTCTTCCTCTGTTTTCCGCTGCAGAAAATCTCACCTGAAATAACATCTGCATCTTGCCCAGGAAATACTGACTTCAAAGCAGATAAATCAAACAAAACCTGAACATTTCCAGGTCAATTCTTGGATGAACATGGAAACTTTTCATTAGGAAGTGCTATTGCAGTAAATAATGGAGTTGTAATTCAGCTGATCTGGCTTCATGTTCTTTGTTGGGCTTGTTTCACCCTAAGCCACTGTGGTACCTCCTAGGGAGACCATCCCATCAGAGAACTTGAGCTAGAGTGGTCAAAGGGAGCATGAGTCCTGAGAAATAACTGTAGTTACTCTGAGGCTCTACAGGCATATTTCCAGTTCTCCACCTCCCCCTTTAATGCTTTTGCTTATATTTCTCTCTTTCAGGAAGAGAGAGGCAGAAGAAAAGTGAGAGAGGCAGAAAAAAGTGCTATTTCTGCCTCCCAAAAAAAGTAAATTCCTACATAAAGTGGGCATTTTTCTTGAATACTTTAGCCAAAACCCTTTGTTCCAGAGGAAAAATGGGAGAGGGGGGCAATTTCCACCTAATCCAAGGTGTTGATGGGAAGTTACTGCACCTAAGATAAGATCAAGGATAAAGCAGGCACAGGTTTGGGTGCAAACCTTGGATGTGACCTCCATTGGGCTGTGGAGGCAGGTGGTGTGAGGGCTGAAGACTGGTAGAATATCTTTCTGTTAGTGTTATCCTCCAGGAAGCTGTGTTATAATGAAAAGCAGGAAATAATGTCTAGTGTTGTCAAGTGTCCCATGTTTGTGGCTGCTGGGAGAAGGTAAAGCCAGCCTGATATTCATCTTCCATTCTGTTGTACGGACTTGAGCTAGCACTGGTAGGGAAAAGAGAGGCCTTCAAAGGAAGGTTCATGAAGGGTGCTATGTCCTTGGAGAGGTCACCTGAATTAGCAGCATCAGACTCAATTCCTACATTTCTGGCATAACCTCTGTTTTCAATAAACTTCTCTGCCCCTTAGTTTTTTTCCAAAGATATGACTATTTCTTAAGAGCTCTGGGGGACTAAAATGGTTGACTGTAGCACTCATGGAGAAAGTAGACATGCAAAGCTCTGAGTTCTTAATAGTTAGCACATTACTTTTGTTTTTCAGAACAATGATCTTCTCTGGACAGATTTCCATCAGAAGCTGGTGGATCAGGCACTTCTGACCATGGATACGTACCTTGGCCAATTTCCAGATATTAAAGTAAGATTCTCTTTAAACCTTTTTATCTAGAAAGTCACAGCAGATGAAACCTCATAAGAATAAATTTCTTGCATCCCCATCTTCTTTAGGAGGATGTGTGTGCTGTGCTGCTGTGAGCTTTCCTTTTAGAGCAGCCAAGATCTTTGCAGCTCTGGGTCATGTGAAAATGTTATGTTTTCCTTTTGGGCTTGAAACGAGAGTGAAGAATCTGGATGCTGAAGAGAAAACATAAGCGTGAAACAAGAGGATCCATGAAATTTCCTGTTATATCACAATGCAGGAGGGCAGTGTCAGCAATATCTCACAAGCTGTCAGTCTCTTCTCAATCCTGTTTTTTTAACTTCCTTGTAAGTAGAAAGCATTGAGGAGGTAGTGAGCGGCGAATGTGCTCTATAGGTAGAGGCTGGTATGGAAGGCAGATTTCTGTGTGTTCCCTGAAGTCTGCTGTACATGTAACCAGCTTTTTGCAGAGATGGAGGAGATCATGTCTGAGGACCCGGGTTTGAATGGTGTCCTCTCCCTTCCCCCACAGTTATCTCCCCTCTGTTCCTTTTAGAAGGTTATGCAGGAAATGTCTTCACCATATGGAAGCGCTAGTAATGATATCACCATATGGGAAATATCAGCTTGGCTTCTTCCCAGTGAAAACAACCTTTTCCCTACCACATGTCTCTTAAAACGTTTGTCAATATTTATTGCTTCAGGAGGATCGTGCTGCATCAAGGGGGGGTAGGTCACAGGTTTGTGGAATGAACCCTGAACTGCAGTGCCCTTGCCTCCTGGGGCTCCTTTGGTTTGGCTTCATTTTTCCAGCCTCCTCTGTCCCTGGAAGTCTGAAATTGGGAAGGGTGCAGAGGCTTGCTGTTGCTTTCCACCCGCTCGAGGCTCTAGAGCTGATTGCTCCCCATAGTGCGGTGCTGTGTGCCTCAGCAGAACAGAGGCTTGTGCACTGCTTCCTAAGCAGGAGGTTTTATTTCAGACTTGCTGTGGTCTCAGACTTCTTTACCACTGAGGTTTTACGGTGGGATTTTTAAAAGGAGCACAAGATTGGGACCACCCAAATTCCACCAGAACTCAAGGTGTTAGGGACTGAGCCCCCATGGATCCTTTCTATGAGCCACTAAGGTCTTTATTACTAATGTCCCTTTCTCAGTCTTCAAGTGATGCTCTAGAATATGAGAAGTTAAAGCAATTTTATGCATAATTTAAATAATGCTTTAGAGAGCGCTACTCACCTCTGCTTCCCTTCCTAAAATGAGTGGGAATTTGGCTTTCTGTTGCTTCCTACAATAAGATATGGATATGTTTCACATAGTTGGCTATTTCTTTAAAATGGATTTTTAGTGGTATGAATATTTAAAAGGGTCAATAGGTTGTTATTGGTAGTTCAGCTGGATGCATTATCCTCCTTACCCCAGAGCAGTGAAAAATGCTCAAATCAAGTCCAGTTTCTTTGACCGGTAGAAACACTTATAAGTACTCTTGTTGAAGGCTACTACAGTTGTATGAAAGCATACTTTGGCTTAACATAACGAATTAGAATTCTTGAGTGTGGCAGGCAAAAACACCCAGTCTTATGCAACTTACAGAATATTTCAGTTGGTTTTGGTTGGTGTTGTTAAAAGTTTTCTGGTTTGCGTTTTCCACAAAAGCAAATTTTCTGCTTTCCCTGGAATTCTGGAATTGCTGCCATAATGAAAGATGATTTATGGAGAGAAGATGATTTTAATTTAGTTACATCAAGGCCTGTTTTTTGTTAATGACCCAGTAATTCAAATATGTGATGAGTTAGATCATGCATGCATTATTTTTTGTTAAATTCTAACATATTCTGAAATCATCATTTGAGGGGCTGGAAAAATTCCCTTGAATTTTTTGGACTTCCAAACAGATCCACAGCAGGAATGTAAAAACCTAACATTCCTGTAGTGAGGAATTTTTTTAAGTTAAAGAGAATAAGTTTTAAACGTTGGGTGGGGGATGTGTGAACAAAGCCTCTCTGTCTTCTTTAACATGTAAAATGGGAATGCAAAAAGTACTTTATCCTTTCCTTGCAGGTCAGTATCTAAAACTTCTTGGAGTAGGACTCTTGCACAATCTATAATATTTCTGAGTGAGTTTTTTGTTTGAGGTTGCAGAACACACAGTATAAGTACAGGCCTCTGTGGTGACCCCAGAGAAGATAAGCCGTAACCCAAGTTTTGAATAGCTGTGGAATTGGCAATTTTCTATCTTGCACTGCAACTGGTGCCCTGTTTCTACTAGGTTTAAAATGAAATACTGGTAAAGGGGGCAGGGAAGTGTTTTTTGATGGTTTGGTTTTGTTGGGGTTTTTGCTTTCTTTTTTTAAGGAGGCTAAAATTAAGCTGTATCTATTGCAAAGCAGTAAACTCTGGAGTTAAGCTTTTACCATCAGATAGTGGTGGGTAGCTGCAACTATTCAACAGTCATACAAGGAAGCTGCCCTGCAGCCTTCCAGGACTGGGCTAAATCCCATTACTGCCATCACAGGCAATTGCATGATCAGAGGTTACTCCAGGAGAACTCGCAGTGTATCCATACCTCACTGCATTTCCCTGCACCATAGTGGAAATGTGAGGGTGGGGTTAGAAGATTGAGGGTTGCAAAAAAGGGCAGGACTGACCTTGAGAGATGGGTCACATTGAATCAAACTCCCTGGTGGGGTGGCAGGAAGACTTAGAAGTGGCTGTTTGCCATGTCACAGAGGTGGGCAAAACTCCAGCCATCTTTACCAGTCTGAACTGGAGGAAAAATCCTACCTTTTAGATCCATGGTCTGGCCACATGTTTTATCTGATGGGTGTGAAAGATTGTCATACTGCTAGAAGCCCCCTCTGATGCCCTGTCTCCAAGCCCAGCTGGTAGTGTGATGTAAGGGAGGTGTCTTTCAGTCACCTCGACTGAGAGGTAGCTCAGCTTCTTTGTGATTCCTCTCCTGGAGTGAGCTGGGTGCTCTGAAATCAGTTTGGGTGTGCGTGTGGCTGAGATCCTGCAGATCTGCTGTGACTCATGCAGAGCTACACCAGCATTTGCTGAAAGTGCAGAGGAGCATGTGTGGGAGACGTGCAAACTGGTCCCAGCTGGTCTGGCAGAAAGATCAGCCCTGAGTGTGGTTTTGTAGTTTATCTGCCTAGGGAGAGGAGACCACGTCTCCCTGCCAAGTGCAGTGGAGGGAGGGGTTTTGCTTTTGCAAGTAAATCCCAATGCTGATTCTTCATCTTGCACTTTCAATTTCCCTGGGTGCTGTGGTTAATTAGAAACCTCCTGGCTCCTTGCTGCGCCTGTTCACTCCAGTTCTCCAGCCTGTCTCTAGACTGCTGATCACTGACAATGGACCAGGCTCTCCAAGTTGAGGTGGTGCTATGGTCAGGCTGGGAAGACCTGTGCTCCAACCCAGACAGTCTGGGCTGCTTGTAGGGAGTGAGAAGGCAAGGGTCTAAGGATGGTCCTTAATCAAATGGGCCTCAGCCTTGCTAAGGTGAATCTATGCTGGGAGAGAGAGCCTGAAGGGACCTCATATGAAAAGGGATAATGGAAGATAAGGCCACAGGCCTGACTCTGTCTATTCTGGATTCTTACTCATGGACTTGTCAGGACTCCATTCCTGAGCACAAATCTAGTACACAGGTGGCACCCTCCTCCTATTTGTTACGGCTTCAGCATGTCTTGCTATTAGTGACACAGTGCTACAGCTTTCCCACTCACATTTCTCTTGCTTAATAGCTAGTTACAATGGACCACTGCCTGTGGCTGCAGTCACTTCTGTCTGGACCTCCTGTTGCAGGGTCCAAAATGCTGTCCTAAGTGTATCCTGAGCACATGGACAAGTGCTTTTGCTGTGCTGGCAACAGAAATGCCTTCTTTTGTTAAACTTAATCTTTTGAGCTTCCACATTAACCAACTAGCTCACAACCCTAGTCTGAGTCTGGCTGCAGCCCTCGGGAGGCCCCGAAAATGATGAAGCAGTACCCTTAGGATGCAGACACATGGGGAGGCTTCAGAAGCGCTGGAGCTACAGTTCTGAAAACATTAATGTCATCCAGAGGTGGGACTTGCTGTTGGTTGGATCCCTTTGCTTTCCCTGACTGGGTCTGCTCTCCTCCTGGGGAGCTTCCTCTAGAATGGTGGGCAGCCATGTGTGGGATATCCAGTGAGTGTCCTTGTGTGGGCAGAGCACAGGATGCTCTGAAGCTGGGTGAAGAGGAGGGGGTGTTTCCTTGCTCTCAAGGAAGGAGGCTTTTTGGGGTTTTGACTGCTGGGGAAGATTGTCACAGTTCTTTTCTCCATTTTTCTTAGTCTCGTATAGCGAAGAGAGGAAGGAAACTTGTGGATTACGACAGTGCCAGACACCATTTTGAAGCCCTGCAGACCGCAAAGAAGAAGGATGAAACCAAAATCGCAAAGGTAAAGCAAGCAGAAGAATGGGCAGCCATCCTTTCATTTCATGAGGTCTGCATTTGCCTGCTGAGCCGTTTCTAAGTGCACCTCTACCTTTTCATTGGGTATGTTTTGTTCAGAGAGGTGTCGTGAACTGGTAAAGTTTAGTTCTAGAAAACAGGATCGTCTCTGTTGTATTGGCTCAGGCTCACCATCATCGGTGAGCATCTCCTGGTGGCCAAGGCCTAGGTGTGCATTTCCTCAGATGCTGCAGGACCAGTAACCTCTATCAGGAAAGCCCATATGCCTCTGGGGGAAGCAAAGCCTTCTAGTGCCAGTTTGTCTGCTTCTTGGGGCTCTGTCTTCCCATCTTATAGCAGTGGTAAGTGTTTGAATGTTGCTTGAGGCTGGTTGTGTTTGTGAAGTCCTCTGATGTTCTAAGATGGAGACCCTTAAGAGTGTGAGTTACAAGTTCATTGGTGGAAATGCACTCTATGCACACTTGACAACTCTGTTCTGTTGTTTGTTGGTCACGATTACTGGACCAATAAGGTTGAAAGCAGGAAAACAAGAGTTTTCTCTTGTCAGTGTGTGGTTTCTTTCATGCCTGTGAACAGCTTGATCTAGGGTTAACCCCAGAGTATGCCCAACATGCAAATGTAGATTTTTTTTTTTTTAATTAAAATAAATGTCATTAAAATTTAGATTTTCTTTTAAACGTAGCTGAAGAAAGGTGATAGTAGTAACCTTGTTCTAGAGGAGATGCGTGGTTCGACTATAAGCTGTGGATTACTTCTGTACCCTGAGTGGATTTCAACCATGTGCTCCACTCCACAGGACAGGTCTTGCCACAACAGAATAATCCAGGGCTGGACAGATATCTTTAATTCTCTCAAATGTGGGCCATGACACATCAGGCCTCTTTAGGCTAGAAGCAGTGCAGGATAGAAAGAGCCTGGATCTTTTAACCAGGCTGAGATGAGTTGTCATCATTTGCTTAGAGTTATTTCTGGTAGAGGGAAATAATAGATGTATAACTTCCCCTAGCAAAGATCTGCATTTAATGGCCAACTGACGGTACTTTTATTTTTAAGCTGCAAGTCATCAGTCATCTGTTCACCGAGTGCATGCACTGTGATTAACCTTGACAGACAAAGGGGAGAGAGATTGATGGCTCAGGTGTCATTGCATCACTTGTGTGGCAAAGCAAGTCTTGGTTCTGTATGCAAGGCATGAGGCCCAGCTGGTTGTGTCTTCTGTTCAAAGCTGTACTTTGCTGTGTTTGGGGGCAAGAGCAGATTTCCCTGGGGCACAGTATTATTATCGGTGTGTGCCTGTGGGATCTTTGCTGCAGTGGAAATAGTTTTTGTGGGAATTCATCTAATCGGGTTGGTACCTGGTGATCTGCACCAAAGAGACTGGCTTTCTTTGTTGCTGCTGCACTCGCTCGTGTTGCCCCAAAAGCTCATGTAAAACATTATGAACAAGGGATTGTTTGTTATTCTTTGGCTAAAATATGAAGAACAGCGCAGTTTGAAGAGTGAATTGTTAAGATTTAGAGAGTTGGTGCTCTGTTCCTGATTCAGCATGAGCAAGTGTCATTCAGTATTTATTTATACTCTTCTCATTAGCCAAAATGTTCACTGGTTCAGATCTTTTCACCCTCTGTGCTGTAGGCCATAAGCTCATGCATGGGATATATGACACATCTCACTGTCCTGATCCTGTAAAGATGGGAGCAGTGAGTCCCCAAAAGATGTGTATGTATGTTCTTCCCAAATGGGCAGGTTTCACAGCCCAGCCCGGGATCCCAAACCTGCAGTTACACACTCTGTGGGGCTGTGGGCAGGAGCCAGGACTTGGCGTGCACTAGGCTGATGTCTGAATTTCACTTCTCTGTTTCTGTGACTCTGATTTTGCTTGTGTGACCTTTGAAGTGGGGTTGTTCTGGTCTAAGGTACTCTGGAATATGATGACAGGTCCCTAGGAAAGAGAAATCTTCTGTATGACACAGCGTATGAATGGGAACTGAGTCCCTAGGAAAGAGAAATCTTCTGTATGACACAGCGTATGAACATCCTTGGTTGATGTTTCACGGTATAGTAACACAAACAGCAATGCAAATACTTTTGGGGGCTGTATGGTGTCTTTTTTTTCTTCTCTAATACATGGATGTTCTTTTCTCACCCAGGACTTCTGCCACTTACTGCTAAACTCACAACCTGCCATTAAAATAAAGCACTGTGGACTTTCAGCTGATGCATGCAAATAATTATGATGGTTAATTAATCCCAACCTCTCTTTAAGGAGCTCACACTTCACAGCCATGACTCGGAGTAGGGTTGTCTGTGTGCGAGGTCACTAACAACTTTATCTGTTGCTCTTTGCAGCTGCCTGGCTGGTCTGCAGTATCCCAGCCCACACTGGAGCATTAATTACTGCTAAACTTGGCATGCTTCAAAGGATTCATAACTGATGGGTCCCAGGATGTTTGTTTTTTCTCTCGCCTTGGTGATACTGGTTTGGCTCAGCCTCTAAATACACTCTCTGTTGTGATTTTGACTTTTTTTTTTTTTTAATCCTAAAAGTTATATGTTTGTGTCTCTCTTGTTCTCTGTTTATTTTTTTTTTTTCTCTTTTCACTCAAACATGCTCCCTCCCCTTCAGCCTGTTTCGCTGCTTGAGAAAGCTGCGCCTCAGTGGTGTCAAGGGAAGCTACAAGCTCACCTCGTTGCGCAAACTAATCTGCTCCGAAATCAGGTGACTGCTGATCTACCTGGCTCTAACCCTGCATGCGCTATTTTGGGCTCTAGACTGTACCGTGCAACTAATCTCTAGGCAACGTTCACTCTAGTCCCCTCTGATGAGTGTGTCCTTGATATTCCTGAGCCACAGTGGACACGTGGAAGTTGCTGATCAATGAACGAATCTGTGCCTGCCCTATTGATTTCTAATCAGGGGTGTTGATATTGGACTATTGTTTTTCTCCCCCCAAAATGAAACGAGGATGAAGAAAGGCTGTGGAATAACGCCAAGGCAGTGGGTAATGTAGTGTAGTTCCTCCAATTATTCCTTTCTTTTTCCTCTAAGAGAAGCAGTGAATTCTTATTGTTGCTGTTTAACAGAAACAGAAAAAAAGGAGGAAAAAAAGAGGAAAACATTAGAAAAATTGGCTTCTGCATTTCTGCTGTTGAGTAAAGCCAGAAAAAAGCATATTGCAGCCAGAAAAAAACATATTGCTTCAAAAGCAATTTCTATGTCTGCTGAGTTAAGTTGCAACATTCTCCCATGGTAAAATCCAAGTTTCCCAAATGGGCCCTGTTCTGTCCCTTGTGGTCTAAATGAGGTGTTTCCAGGTGTACAGAGGCTCAGTCTGCAGAGGAGAAGAGGTGGGCCCAGACCAGGGAAGTTGCACCCCATGTAATATATTTGAACAGTTCCAGGTCGAGGTCATGGTTGTGTCATGTGGCAGAACTTGGCTGAACATCTAGGTTATAGCATCTTGAGGGACATAAGAGCAGCTCAGAGAAACCGCAGGGACTAAGATTTAAAATCCTACTTGCCTAGGAGAAGTGTAGCTTCCTGATGAAATTTCCCTTGGTATTTACCTTGGAGGCCCTTAAGGGATAAGAGGGAGCTGACAGAAAACAGTCGGTGAGAGGAAAATGCTTTCAATGGGCAAGGAACAGTAAATCATTACCCGGACTGGGAGAGCGCCAGTTACCTGCTTACAACTTCCTGGTGAGCTCATCTGTTCTCATTCAAATGCTCCTACGTTTTTACATTCCTTGTCAGTGAATAAATTGCAGTTTAGAAACACTAAATTGCTCTCACCTTATAAAGCACCTGGGTTTTTCACAGTCAGTTTATGACTGCGGATCAGGGAAAAGACTAGGTTACCCCATCAGTAAAACCTGGGGAAAGAACAGCTGTTAGCAGCCCTGCTTAAGATGCATGGCAAAGGGAGGAAATATGTACTCATTCTTGATTGAAGGGAGAAGGACATTTGGCAGGCTGCCGGGGGCTTTTCCTGGGCCTCCACGGTGCTGGGAACGACCTGTGTGGTTCTTGACTGGTCTGTTTGGCTGGTGGTATTGCTGGAGGACTGGAAAGCAAATACGGGAAGTTTCTCAAGCTGCAAATAAATAAATTGGCTCTTGGGCATTTTTCCTCTTTTCAGACGGGCTGGGCTGACTGGGAGTAATACCACCGCCCACAGACTGCCTCGAGAAACAGTACCTACCAGTGCTCCTCATCCATCGCGCTCTGATCTTAGAGAAACCACTAAGAGTCAATAGATAATTTCACTGTAGTGGGAGACTTTGCCCTAAAGCAGGTGACAAGGGGCTATGTAATCTTTCCACCCTTTGTGTTGCGGGGGTGTAAATCTCCTGCTAAGTGAGATTAATATTTTCAGTCACCCAGATACTTGATATTTTCGAATCAAATTAAGTCCTCCTTTTAAGTTTTTAATCTTTTGTTCTCTGACTAAATAATACTATTGCCAACCCTATTTTTTCATTTCTACTTGTGTAAGTCTTTGTTGTTGTTTTTTAATTTTTTTTTTGACTGTGGGCTAACAAAAAAAAAAACATCAATAAAGAAGATTAGTTTGTGTTCTGAACCTGTAGGTTTTCCAGCTTTTCTTCACAAACACAAGCAGACAGGGAAAAAAGAGGTTTCAGTTTTTATATTGTCACGACTTCAAGGCTGAAGGTGTTACTGACAACCCTAAATCTCATTAAGCTCTCGATAAAAGCAGGAAGGCTGATGACACTGCATTTATTGAAGAGCTTCAGAATGTTAAGCCTAAAAAAGTCATTCCCCTTACCAGCAGCTGTGTTGCTGTCTCTTCTTGCCTGATAATTTTACAACCTCCAAGCAAAAACGGGGTCAGGAAGACCTATTATTTCTACTGTCAAACCCAGTCCCTCCCTCCAGTGTGCAAACTGCTGGCTTTTGAGGCCTTTAGCACAGATACTAACAAAAACAATACAGTGGGGGTTTTCTGTAAAGCCTCCTGGGGGGTTTGCTATTGCATGCTCTCAGTTATGAATTTTGGTGGCTGCATAAGGGAACAAAAGGGAAAATGGCTTAGAACAGCAAATTCTTGCCTTTTTGCTAAGCTTCCCTGAAATGCTGAATACAGAATAAAAGACAACAGCATTCTTGGTGCTGCAGTGATAATAGAAGGAGAAAGCCAGCAAGTTGAGTCCTGGGCCATGCTACCCTCCTGGGAGGCAAGTCTGGCTGGAACTGGTGGGGGCTTGGTCCTGGGGTGAGCCACCCAGCTCTCCTCCTTACCCCTGCTTCATGGGTATCTAAACTACTCACTGAGCAGTGCGTAATTAATTACCTCAGTTTACAGCATAATGTTTGAAGAGAAATGCTCACCACACTGCCTGAAAGCACCAGACTGGATATTGCCAGACTCTCGTAAGTGCTGGGATGTGTGGTGGTAGGAAACCTAATGGGGGAATAACTGCTCCCCTGTCACAACTGAACTGCTTGTGGCACTCTGAACCTTGGCTAGGAGGAACGTTAGGAAAGCATTTGTGTTGCCCATCTCCTGCTCAAACCTTCCCTCTTTCAGGCAGGAGAGGGAGAATTTTCTGAGATTTCATGGACCTGGACGTTACGTCCTTCTGCCTCAGTTCTCCATTGAGTTGGCAATGATGACAGCTAAAACAGAAAGGGAGCAGATATGGTAGCAATGAGCTCTGCTCCGAAACCTATATCCTTCCTCCTTTCCCCACTGGACTGCATGAGCTGGCTTTTTTTCTAGCAGAGTGCATGACCAGTCTGTCTTCTGCTTTGGCTGGAAGCAGTCAGCCCTGTCTAGTGTTAGGACCTCTGCTTCCAAGCAAAAAAATTCCACTGGTGAGGAGATCCATGGATCAAAGGAGTGAAGAATTAATTCAGTGCTATCTCTGGGACTAAGAGCACTAGGTGGGACGCAGGCACTAGATGGATCCCTGATTCCTGTAGCTACTCTAGAGTGAACGTTGCCTGTCGCTGATTCCGCCTTTGCCTTGCGATGTCACAGTATTCACACGTTGCTTTCTAGGTTTGACCTTCTGAACAGGTAAACGAGAGGGAAAAACTGTTATTAATATGCACTGTATCTGAAAAACTAACAGCATTTAATGGTTCCTCATCTCCCAGCTGTCCTATCCTCCTGGGTTGATTCTGGTTCCAGGCTAGTTTGGAAATTAGAATAAGATAAAACCAAAGGATGGACTGGGTTATTTGTTTTTTTCTCCCTTTAAAATGGTTACTTTAGAAACATTCATTCATAGAGGGATTTTAAGGCAGAATGAGTCTTTGTGATCATCGTCTCTGATCCAGCATAAACTGTGTCTCTTTAAATGGGCTTTTTGTTTATTTTGTGCAAACTCTTGAACTGTTGGGTTTTTCAGTGAGTGTAGTAGTGAAATACAGGGATTTCTGGATGGAAGCATCCTGGCCCCTTCTCCCCCTGCCTGTTCCTCACGAGGTCTGCTTAACTTTTTAATACCTCCCAGTTGTGTCTTTTTCTGGGGGAGACTTCTGATCTTCAGTACAAAGTTTTAGCTTTGCCTTCGACAGCAGTGAGCAATCCCCTTAAAGGTGGAGCTAACTGGAAAGTAGAAGCTTCTGTGGCTTGCTCATAAGTCAGGAGAGAAATGTACAGTATGAGGATCCTGCACAACACTGTGAGGAACAGGACTCTGAACTGCAAAATATTTTTGTGTCCCTTTTCCCATCATTCCACTTTCCTTCAATTCGTAGAAGCGGTAGGAATCTGGCTGCAGGCTCATAGAGAAACCCAGTTCCCCAGTGGCTTGTGGACTCTTTGCAGAGCCCTGTGGTGGTGTGACATTCCTGCTGTTGTCACGCATATATGTAGGCACTTGTGCTGACCTGCTAATGCAGGGATTTGCCATCCTGCATCCCACTGCACAGGGTTATAGCAGAATGCTGTGCTACTGTGAACTACAGAATAAAAATGTTTTATTTAGCAAGCTTTGAGTTTTAAGTGAGGGCACTGAAAAGAGGAAGGGGTCACTTAGGACAAATATGGGAAGAGGAATATGATTGTTGCTGGTGTCTGTTGTCAGCAAGAGAAACCAGCATCATCCTTTTTGTCACTGAAATCCGACAAGATTTGTGCATCAGTGCTGGGGTCTGTCCGTGTCTAGGTCAAATGAACAGATCAAATTTAAACTCTAAACTGGGAGAAAGAGGTCCTGTACAAAGCATATTTCTTTTGGTGTTGGTGTCCAACAGCCAGCCAGGGTTTGCTCTTGTTTTAGATCCTCACCAATGAGAGTATGTGAGACTGCTGAGACCGAGACCTGCTGCTCAAGCACTCCTGGCCTCCCGCTGGCACAACTCATGCTTTGCATACCCTTCCTTGCTTCTCCAGTCAGCTTTGTGAGAGCTGTATCAGCCAAAGATGCAGACCTCCTCCCTTCCTCAGAAGAGATGGGGCTTTGGCATGACTGTACCTGAGCAGAGAGCGTTCCCACGAGGGCAGACTCTTCTTCTACACAATTTGGGATGGATTTCAACTCTTTCGGAGACCTGGCAAGAGGCAGGGGGCGTTGTTGTCTTCATCTTTATCCAAGCTGGGGGCTGAACTGCCTGACCAGCTCCATTCAGTTTTTGAAGCTGGAGAAATTTATAGAACTTAAGCCACTGAGTATCCAAACAGGGAAATCCATTGAGAGAAAGCCTGAGAGTAATACATGGAAGTTGAAGGGGCATCAGGTCACTTGTGATGCAACTCTGGTTCCTGGGAGACTCATTTGGGGTGGGGATTACCCCATGCCAGAATTTTGCCTCGTCTCCTAAGGAAATCAAGAGTCACAGTTGTCCCAGCCCTGCAGGGTACTTGTTTGTGCTGGAGCTGACAGTCTCCCTTCTCTGTTATTAAGGCTGAAGAAGAGTTAGTAAAGGCTCAGAAGGTATTTGAAGAGATGAACGTTGATCTGCAGGAGGAGCTGCCTTCACTATGGAATAGGTGAGTGCTGGAATTTTTCCCAAGGGCTGGTTGGAAGGAAGTGGAGACCCAAGGTCTTTTATCACTGTTCTCCTTTGCTTGGGCTGAGTGTCTGCGCTTTTTTTCTGGTTTATCTCGGAGAGTCTGTTCCAGGATTCCTCTTAGCCAGGTTCACCCTGGCCTTTCTGTACTTTGCTTCATGATCCTCATGAAAAATGCAGTTTTACCACAAAAAGAAACTGTGTTTCTGTGCTTTGCTTTGTCTGCTTAATCCCTTTGCCCCACCAACTTTGCCCAACTTTCCTGGGCAGCGGCCCAGCTTCTGCTGTGGACAGCAGACAGAACAGGCTGGGTCACTAAGATTTTTGGGTGTGGAGCTGGCTGGCTGGAAGGAACATCTGCAGCTGAGTGGGTATGTCAGCTGACTGGTTAAGGAAAGATGACATTTTAGAGGGGTTTTATACAGTCACTGGGGTTGGAGAGAGCCAAGAGGTGATGCCTTGATCACTGTGTCTCACCACATGCTGGTTTATAAGCACCTGGTGAAGTAGCAGGTTTAACATAAGGGCGAGGATGAGAGGACAGGTTGCTCTGCTTTGGATGCCACTTTCAGGTTTGGGCAGTTGGGTGAATAAAAATGAGGGAAGGACCCTTGTGTGGCTGCCTTCTCTTGCCCCTAAATGTGGTCCTGGCTGTGTGACACAGGACCCAGTGAGGATCTAGTGGTTATAGCAGTCCTGTTGTGCTGTACTTAACAAAATATTGTCTGGGCAGAGGAAAATGGACTGAAAGAATAGGAAGACAGACTTGAGAGATTTTTCATACCAATGATTATGTTGATAAAAAGCAAGGATTAAAAAAACAGACTAACAGTTCACTTGGAGGATGAACTGGAGAGCAGCAGAAGCTGATGTACGTGGAAAGCAGGCAAAATCCTCCTAGGAGTGCCTCAGTTTCTGATTTTTAAGTGCAGTGATTGCATCGGGTTGGCAATGCTGGTCTGTGGGGGCTAGAGAGAGTGGACGGCAGCAGGGCTCCCCTTTCCTTCCAGCCTGGACCAGGGCTGTTGCTTGTTACCATGTGCAGGCCTGGCTGAGGAAGGAGGGAGGGATACAGGTGTCTGGGTGGTTCCATGTTCAGAACAGTGATGCTGCTGGCCTTAGAGAGCATCTCCCTCCTACTGTTGCTCCTCCAGCTGGGTACTGGTACAGGAGGAAGGAGCCAGGAGGCAGCTGCTGGGATTTTAAGGTGCCACAGGTTGTTCACAGGCTCCTGTTATCCAACTGATCCTTTTGCTTTCATGTTGCTCTCTGTGCCTATCCTGTGCTTTCTTACTTTTCTGCCCCTGAAGCAAACAGTTCATGGTTTTTTTGCTTCCCCTGGTGCTGAGGGACTTCAGAATGAATTAATATCTGTCCTCCTGCCAGTTGTCCCCCAGCTCTCCCAACTCTCTATCTGTATCACAGTATCTGTCCTTTTCCTTTCCATCACCCTACCACTGGCTCTTTTTTTTTTTTTTTTTTTTTTTTTCCCCCTTGCTTTTCTTTTTTTCTTTCTTCCCTCCCCCCCCACCCTGCACTTCCCTATCCCTTTAGCCAGCACAAGTTTGGATCCCATTCTACCTTGGACATGTTTGCCCCATACCAGGCCTTTGCTCCATCAACCCCTTCCTGCTTCTTTGCTGCCCTTCCCTTCCAGCGTGTGCCAGACCTGACAGAGTTGAGTTTGAATGGGAATGGTGGGTGGGAGGTAGCAAAAGGGACATAATTGAGGAGAGCATTATGTCCATTAAGTTCTCGTGTCTCATTTTTCATTTGGCAGTCGTGTTGGTTTCTATGTCAACACATTCCAGAGTATAGCAGGCCTAGAAGAGAACTTCCATAAAGAAATGAGCAAGGTAAGACAACTAACAGCTTATCCTACTAATACACCCTCTCCTCACTGGTATGATAAAAACCCCACAAAAAAAACCCTTAAAAAATGGCTGGAGAAAACAGAGCATTTGCCTTATGTCAGAGGAAAATGTTAACCCTTAGTTTTTTCTGAGACACTTAGGAGAAAGACTAAGATGGTAATGTAAATGGATGGAGCACAGGGAAAAGACTACAGGGCCTTGCAGCAGTGTGTCACTTGGCAGGGCTCATTGGCAGAGGGAAGGGAAGCCACTTTCAAGCCTATCTCTTCCTGCCTTAGTTTGTCTACATTATGGATCTGTAACACATAACCTGGGCAGTCTCAGGCTGGTACCTATATATTTGCCTCCTTCTCTGCTGTCTGGCAGCAAATTGCTGTGAGCCCTCATCTCTCTAGCTGTGGGGATGAAAACAGCAGGAAACCTGCCAATCTGCACGTTGGCTGAAGACTGAGACCTGTCTTGTTTCTGTCCCTCAAGAAGACACTTCTCAGCAGTACCTCTCTGCTTTGGCTTCTTTCCTGCCCTGTGACCCGAAAGAAGGCACTTAAGTGCTTAGCATGGCCCTTGCATGGGTACCAGTTGGCTATGAGCTGTAAATCACAGCAGTAAGCAGTGTTGTAATCTGGGTGGTGGCACCCTGCAGACGCCTCCGGAGTAGTCAGTGGGAAAGCCTCCCATTGCCACTTTCATTTACAAGTATGTTCTTGTTCTTTCACTTAAAAGCTGGAGGAGTCTTGAATTCCATAGGTCTGTACACTGCTCTGAGGGGTTGCACGCCCTCTGTAAACATTGCACTAATCTTGATGAGCAACTGAGAGCCCAGCTGGAAAACTCTTGTATTCCCTCCCCTCCCCAATGTCATCCTGACAACAAGACAGCCGCTAAGCAACAAGCAACATTATAGTCCTTCAATTCCCAGCAGTCAGGGGCCCTCTGCCTTGGTGTAATGCATCAATTTTGAGCCCTGCTGACATTTCATGGGGAACCTTTCCAATTAATAGCTTGCTTTTCTCCACTGAGGGATGAATTGATTAAGAATAGGGAGGATTGTTATAATTATCAGTTTGTTGCTGTTAACTTGCATTCAGAAAAACACGGGAAAGACAGGAATTCTCTTGTATCATGTCCTGATTTTTCTTTCCTGAAGAGCATTGTATGAGAGCAGGCTTTGTCTTTGTTCCATGAGAACCATCTGTTTCTTATTACTGCTATAGCATCCAATTAACTGCTGGTGTTGCCGGCACGATGCTTCCAACATTGATTGCGTTGGATCCCTCCTCCTACCAATGATAAATCTGGCATCTCATCTTGTTTATGAATCAACTGTTTCAGAGTAGGAGTGTCTGGAGTGAATATTTCAGCCTTTGGTGCCAGGGAGAGTTTAACCCCTAATATTACATTTCTGCAAAGATATCCAGGTCCTGTCCAAAGCTAGATGGCCCAGGGAGCTGTGAAGTCAAGGCTTGTTGCTGACTGGTAGTCCAGCTGCTTTTGGCTCCACAGTTGAAATGGCCATATCCCAAGCTTTATAAGCAGGTCTGAGGAACAGCGTTGGCCACAAATGCAGAGTGAAGTTTCAGTTCTAACATATAGACCCTTAGGTAAACCCTCTGCCTGCTTCTGCAGTGATACCTGGAAGCACACTGGTGGGGGCAGGTGATAAAAATGCAAAGAGGATGATGTGTAGGGACGACAGAGCGTTCCGTGACTCACCAGCAGCTCTTCACCAGTTTGAGTGCTCTAGCATTTCATACCCCATGTAAGAGTGAAAACAGATGTAGGGCTGTCCTCTCTTGGGATAGCTGAGTATGTGCATGTGGCTGGGCACAAGCCTGTGTTTGGTCAGCCTGTGCAGACCAGCCCAGACTCCCTTCTGGTGTTTGGGGCTCTTTTCTTATTCTCTTTCTTTCTTTTGTTTTTGTATTTTGCAGTTGAACCAAAACCTCCATGATGTCCTGCTGGGTCTCGACAAGCAGTACTCAGGCAATGCCTTCCCAGTTAAAGCACAGCCCAGGTCAGTAACTGTGGGAGTAGTGTCTTTCCCTCAGCAGGGAGGAGGGACAGGGATGTCTCTTATCAGGGTTATTGAAACCTCCGTGTTGTCTGCTGGGGAGGGATTTGACTACCTGTATATAGCCAGCCAGTGCCCTCCTCAGACTCCCCAGAGCACGTCCAAGATTGCACTTGGGGCTGGGTGACACAATGCAATACCCCTTACCTTTCTACAGTACCATCTGGAGGCCTAAATTTTCACTAGGTGCTGATATATAAGCAACTGACTCTCAGCTCTGCTTTTTTAAAATCAAAATCCGTGCATTGACATTTATACTGAGCTGCTCTTCCTTCTGGGTCCAGTTGCCTGGCTCCTCTCCTGTTCTTTCCTTAAAAGCTTCCACCATGTACCTACACCTTGTAAACTTGAGCACCAAGAGCCCGTTTGTTTCCCCACCCTCCTCTTTTGTTTCCCCACCCTCCTCCAAACTTGGAAGTACCAGTTTGCCAAAGTCTGATGCCCCTCCTGTGTACCCAGCTGAGGTGTGTTTCCTTGTGTGTGTTGTGGAAGTGGTTGCAGGCTTGCTAATGTGAGGCCTTCTCATGTCAGAGCACTTCCAGTCTGCAGGTATGCAAAGAGCGGGCGTCCTCCAGACCTTCAGTTTTCTTCCCTCAGCTGGGTCCAGCCCTGTATGGTTAAGTGCAAGTCTGCACATTCTCTAGCACTGAGAGGGGAAGGAGAGGTTGGGCTCTGGATGAGGCTGGCTGGCTCCCATCCACGTGCGTGAGTGATGAGACAGTGTCGGGCTCTGGCTTCCAGCTGCTGCTAGTCCCACGTGCCGGGTGAGCAGGAGCACAGCCCAAGTCCTCAATTGGTGTATTGATGGAGGGAGGAGGTGAAGTCAGTGTGAAGTAAGGGCAAGCTGTGGTCTGAGTGCATTGATTCGGAAGGGCTAGATCAGCTGTTGAGACCTCTGTGCTCCCTTGTCTCTCCTCCCAGTTTAACCTCCTGTTGCAGTTGTGCATAGGCGACTTGCGTGTCTTGTTCCAGTAACGTGTGTGGTGTTTGCCAGCTCTAAAGAAGGAGGATGTTTGAGTTGAATTTGGCCCCTGAATTTTGGATTGCCAGCACCAAATTTCCAAGATGCTAGTAGAAATGCTTCTTGTGAAAATAATATCTTCTTCCCAAGTTAGCATGTGGTGCCTGATCATCACAACCCAAGAAGACTGAAGCCTTGTGAGGAGGTCATGGTGCCCATCCTCTTACTGCTGTGTGCTGTGTTGTCTCTGATAGCAGTATCCTCCAGGGTCCTTGGAAGAGGATGAGATAACAGGACAAATGAAGGCTGTAGCCATTGTTTTGTGCAGCTCCTTCCTCCAACTTCCTTTCTTCCCCCAGGAAGTGATTGCAGGCTGTAGTTAGAGCCTGGCCCAGACGTGTTCATTGCTGTTGTGGCATTGGAGTTTCTAGCCTGGAAGAGCTTCCAATGAATAAATTACCTGTCCTTGTGATTCCCACCCCCACAAACTCCTAGCTTCATCTGGGGCCATAATGGGTATCTCAGCTGCAGTTCTGTGCTTTTTGGCTGGATATGAGACCACAAGGCCCTAAAACCCCAAAACGAGCACACACAGAGAGGTCCCTGGGTGGGCAGTGATCTGAGTGCTGCTGCTTCATCACTTACTCCCTGCATCTCAGCTGAGATGCCAGACCTGCCCCAGAGCGACTCCTTTCCTCCTGAGCACAGTGGAGCCGGGTGTTGTAGGAGGATGTAGCAAAGGTTTGCCAGGGCAATAAATATGTTTTGCAGTGACCAGGAAACACTGTGAGGCACTTCTGTCTCTCCTGCACATCTGGCCTCTCATTGTGGCGCAGGGCTGGAGCAAGAGTGTGCAGGAGGAAATAGCCCTCACCAATCTGATTGCTTATTGTGGTCTGCTGTAGGAGCAGATGCTTCCCTAAACCTTCTCTACTGGGAAGTGGATTGGAGATGGATACAATGGCAGGAAATGAATGAGGAGGTGTGAGAAGAGAGGCAATTATCTGTGCACATCATTACGACATTCATGCGAGGCCTTACCGAATTATTACTGTGGCTGATGAATCTGATGCTGGCTGTGTAACACAGTAGCACAAAGCAGCTGATGTGTTTCTGGGAGCCTCAGACATATGTTTGGGATTTGTTTCTGGAGGAGTTTGAACATTCAGGGCTCAGATGCCTCGAAGATCTAGGAGATGTATAGTGTTATCCTAGTATGATTGGACAAACTGGAAAAAGACCTAGTAGGAAAGCTGCTGATTACGTTCCATGTTTAAGACTGTGCACAGATCCCATAAGTAAAGGAGAACAGGGAACTTGTTTCTTGTGTACCAGTATTTACAGGGGAGAGCAAGGAGCTGTGATCACCTGTGAGAAAAGGACATTTACAGTTCTCTGCTGGTCTATACAGCTTCCTTTTTAATCTTCTCCATGTGCGTCCTGGCCCCATATTCCAAAAAGGAGGGAAAATCTTAGTTTGCTCACACATACATAGATCTCAGGCACAAAAAGCCCTCTCCTACCCGCTTTAAACCAGGCTATAGCTTTCTAGGAACCAAAGGAAGTCTGTGTACGTGTTTCTGTGTGTGTGAGAGAGAGGAGATCTTGTCATCTTGATTGGAATGAGTTTTGTGGTATCAAGTGAATGGGTGCTCGGAAGCATAACTTTTCCTCCCTGGTTTGACTGTGCCATCCTGTAACGGAAATGATTTGCGTACCATCCTCAACAGAAAGAAAACTAAACTGTTCGCCAGGCTGAGGAAAAAGATGAGCAGGTACCGGTACGGAGAGCAGCATTTCGATACGTGTTTGATTTAGTTCCTAAAACTGGAGAGGCTGTTGCTGGACTCTAACAGCCTGGCACGTGTTAACTCTGCGATGGGAGAGGGGTCCTTTGCATGATACAATGTGTTCATGGCCTGCTGGGTCCTGCTGAGATCTCTCTGTGTCTGGATAATCCCATTAACTGCTTGTGTGCTTGGTTTGAATCCTTGCTGCTTTTCCTCTCTAAGAAGGCAGTGTGAAAGCTCAGGCATTGTCTGTTCAGTTGTTTTTGTGTGACTAAAAGTGTGGTGCTGGGTTTTCCATGGGAAATATGGGCCATTTTGGTGATTAACAGCTTCTAGTTTTACCTAGTGGGGCTTGCCTTATTGAACAGGTCTGAAATGCTGCATTCTCATTCCCTGCCTGGCCTGGGAGGAACACAAGGCAGGTCTTTCACGCTCAAGAATCCTGTCCTATCTACCTGTTGCAGTTGGGAGGATGATGAGATGGGAGAAGGACACTTCCAGTTTTGCTCCTTACTTGCTCTGTTCTTGAGGATCCTCACTGTCTTGCTCCATCCATTTAAAATTTGGGTTGAAGGAAAAAAAAGCCTGTTGTCTTGTATAAAGACTAATGTTAGCATCTTGTCTTTCAAGACAGTGATGGCATTGAATAACTGAATTGCTACAATGCCTAGAGTTACCATAGCCAAGATCAAGGACTCTGACAGGAACATGCTCTGGAGCAAAGTGGGAATTGCTGCATAATGGCGTGGAAACTTCCTCTAATTTTTGTTTTTCTTAGTCTTTGTGTTGATACTCCCTGCATGGGGTCCTTATAGGAGGAAAAAAAAAATATAATTTTCAAGATGTTCTGCCAGCAATAAAAGCAAGTGCTGTGGATTGCGACCCTTGCTTTTCTGAGCCTGCCTTCCCACTGACCAGGGCAAGTCACACAACCCTTCTCTTTGTCTCTACTATGTGTTCTTTGTAAAGTGGGAGATTGGAGGGTGAAGAATGGTAATTTCACAGGGAAACTGATGGGCAAATCTTGATTTTTAAATCCTCAAATGAAAGGTAGTGAAGGAATATCTTGTGTTGTTACTATTCTGAGGTTTTCTACTGTAGGAAAAGGAGGTTTCAGGGGGGTACTTCTCTGTATGTCTGTCTCTGGCCCTTGGTTGCACCAGTGTTGTAGCTGCACCAGACGGGAGGTCTAATATTTCCAGTCACAGACAGATGCTACAGCAGCGGGAGAGCTAGTAAATCTCATCTCAATGGGCTCTAGCCATGATGTCCTCCTCCTCTGCCCTCGTAAAGTCCCAGCAGTTAAAGTGCTTGAATTGGGCTGTGCTGGGGGTTTCTGCTGTCGGAGCAGCTTCTGGGGTCAGAGAGAAATGTACAACCCCTGGTGCAGAAAAGGAGGGTCTAGAACTCAGTCACTCTTTGATAAGCAGCAAGAATGTATGTTTGTGCCACAGTATGTTCGGGTATATATAGGTGCTTTTCCCTCCTCCTACCCCCTCTTCTTTTTTTTTTCTTTTTATAAATAATTCTCCAGCCTGCTTTGGTGCTAAAAAATAAATTACTTTTGGCTAAAAGGCCCTGTCTGAGCTTTAGCTGAAATGCCAACCTTTTTTTCTTTTTAACTTGAGAACTTGGCAGGAGGTGACTGGTCTGTTTTTACCATATTGGAAAGTAGGTTTCATCCTCTAACTTGGGATAGTTACAAGCACATGGGAACCCCATCTGCAGATGTTACTCTGTTCTTCCAGAATAGATGAGGCAGCCCTGTGAGGGGTCAGCAGCACTGAAAGAGGCTGGGGGATTTTGGCTTTCCCTTCAGCTTTAGTAACTGCATTAGACCCTGTTCCCAGCTCTCTATTTGCAGAAGAAAGTTGACACCCCCTTCCCTTCCTCTGCTTGATATTCCTGGATTTGGCATCACTTCCCAATTGCTCATGGGAAGAAAAAAAAGAGAGCAATGACCTTGTTGTTTTGATATACTTTTACTGTGGTACTCACGTTTGCTCAGTGGGGGCAGTCCCCACACTCTTGCTTTTCCCTGTGTTTCCTGGAGCAAGCAGTCAGTTTGGAGAAGGACTTTGATCTGTGTGGGAAGTGTGTGCTCCCCAGGGACCCGTGAAGGACAGAGGATCCTGGTGACTAGCTCGCTTGATGCTGGTTGCACTGGCTAAATGCGTGCAAAGCAACAAGTGCAGGAATGAAGGTGCTACTCAGGGGGCTGGAAAAGTCTCAGCCAAAATTAGCCCTGGCATTTTCCTAGGGGGATCAGCCAACACATCAAACAAGCTGTAAATAGTAGTGACTTAATGAAGGCTTTAGCGTGGGGCCCTCTCAGCCCTTGTAGGATGAGGGAAGGAAACTGGACTGCCTGTCATGTGGGAGCCTTTTACCAATATATCTCCAAATTAAGTCATTTCCAGGCACCAGAAATAAGGCACTAAGAAGCTGTTTCATGGCCCTTAGAAAATAAGCCTAAACTCCTTTCTCACTGGGAGAAATGGCCTCTTCAGGTCCCTAGAAGGAAAAGTCTAGTTTTGTGTTGATAGGCCATCTGATAGCCAGTAGTCCCAATATTCCCAGTGTAGTCTGAGCATTTGAGGAGTCCTAGCAGTGTAGCTGCAGATCACAGTGTGTCCTATTTTCTCCAAAGTGCTTTCAACTCTAGGTAAAGGTAACTTATATTTTTTTCCCTAACTCTAGCATCAGAGCTCATTTTTTTTGTCATTTCCTACTGTTCCCTGGTGACTCCAATTTAGAGCAGGACTTCCTTACCTTCACTGTGCAACTATTACTTCTTTAATCTGTAGAACAAACTTGTCAATTTTGCAGAATCCTTCACAGAATCCAATCCACTGCATTGAAGTGATTTTTGGGGACCTCTGAGGAAGGCATATTTAGTCAAACTGAAGAGCTGTAGGCATTGACATACATGTTCTTTAGTCCCTCCTCTCCCCTTTTTCTTCTTCCTTTCCCTCTTTTTTCCCTTGGCGTGTGTGCCCCTGGTTGAGAGCTGCTGGCAGAGAACGTCATTGGGTTTGTTGCATCATGTTGGTGTGCTGCTGGCATCAGTGTCATCAGAAACATCTGACCTGCATGTGGACCTGAGAACAAGTGCTTTGTGGTGAAATGTGTGTGAGGGGTGTGGGTATGGAGAGAAAAATGGGGTGGAGGGGGAGGGAAGGGAGGGAATGGGTGAGGGCGAAGTGAATAAAGAGGGAACAGGATGGGGAGCTTGAAAGCTGGAATGTTGAGCAGGGGGAGATGCTTGCTTGGAAGGGGAGGTTTGTTGAAATGCCTTGCTGTCCACCCCTCCTCTTGCTGTCCATTCCTTGTGAGTGTTTAGGAATGAGGTCATCATGCATGTTAGCTAATGACCACCACACCTCCGGCATCCAAGTTTGAGTAGATGTATGTGTCTGGAGCTCTGGGCTATCTTTGTGACAGAGCAAAGAAATAATGGACTTGATGTCTCTGCAGAATCAGGTCTGCGTTGCTCTTGTCTTGGCTCTATGCCAGTATTTATTGTCTCAAGTTGTAGGAAAGGATCTGTTCCTTTCAGCCTTTTCCCAAGGCATTTAACTTCACAAGAACTGCAATTTTGTAAGTGGATGCAAGTATCACTTCCCGTAGATGAGGTTGCACAGCCCTTTTGGAATATTCTGTAATATTCTGTTTTCAGTTGTGTATAGTTTTGCCAAACCGTAACCACTCCTGCCAAAATATCCCCTACCAGTGTCTGTGCTTCTGCATGATTTGAGATAAATTGATTAGTTGCTTTTTGGGGAGCTGAATTTCAGCCAAGACGATTCAGCTGTTCCTGAGAATTAGGCTGGAAAAATGGTTTTACCTTTATCCCTGTTGAAATTCTCCGATAACCAACTTTTCACTAAATCTCCCATGATTCTGTATTTTGAAGCACAGACCTGACACTTGGCCAGGGCATGCCCTTAGGGAAAGGCGTTTGCCTTTGAAAAATTTGTCCAAATCTGGCCAAGTTATGAACCAAGAAATGCCATTGGCATATGCTCCTTGTATTAAATTCCCTGAAGAAACTCTCTTGACTGTGTGTCAGAAACAGTCCTGGAATACAGACCGACTGGAAAGGCAAGAGCTGAAGGGGTTCATTGAAAACAAGGCAGGGGAGATTTTCCGTAATAGAGAAATCTTTAGTAGTAGCCAGAATGTCATTGTTTCTTTGCTGTCTGGAATGATCTGTGAAAACTCTGGCTACTTTGCCCCTCTCCCAGCTTACCCAGTGTGCACCATGTAGAGGAGTATGATATTCTATGATTACAGCCTTAGTTTAGGTGTTGAGAATCTATTAGTCATAACCCATGCAGGTGTCAGTACACCACCACGCAGAAAAATTCTTATCTGTAAAATTTAAAACTAAATGAGCTGCACAGAGCTCATTCCCCCATCTGCTTCCTCAGTATTAAAAAAATGTGACTTAATGTCAGGCACTTAGTTATGTTAGAATTTAGCAGCACTAAGGATGCCTGGTTGGTTTTTTTGGTTTTGTTTTTCTGTGTCTGAGGCAAAGTATATTTAGAGAGTAGCCTGCTGCACAGTAATGCTGCTGCAGTGTGTTGGACTGCAAGTGACTCAGCAAAGATGCTTCTCAGAAGCTTGTAGAGGCTTCAAATGTCTTCATCATGTGTCTGGGCAGGGAAACAGAGATAATGGAGGCCACTGATCTGTGCTGGTTATCACAACTCCTCCTAGGCCTGGCTCAGACCTTTCTTCTCTCTCTTTCTCTCTTTCCCTCTCTCTCCCTTTCTCTCTCCCCTTCCTTCAGTGACAGCACCCCAGCGAAAGCAAATAAAAGCCCCTCGCCTCCACCAGACGGATCTCCCATCACCAGCCCTGAGACCAAGACTGTCAACCATGAGCTGGAACCGTCCACTTTGGAAGCGCCTGGGGCAAGCATCCCAAAGTCACCATCTCAGGTAGCGTCCCCATGACATTGACCATGTCTCTCCAGTATTACTGCTGATGGCACAAGCTCCGTGAGTGAAAGACATCTATCAGTTGCTTTTTTGGACCTCTTCCTACTACTGAGCACAGAGAATATGGCGTGACAGTTGTTCTCCTTCACTGTTTCCTGAGAATGCAAGTTGTTTGTTGATCATCTCTATATCATACAGGGAAGAACTACGCTGTCTCTGAATGCCTCTAGAGGGGGAAAGTCAGTAATACATTTTACTGTCCTGTAAAATGGCCAAGAAGATCCAGGGAGGATGGAGTTTTAGCTAGGTGAGGAAGTTTGTTCTTTAGATTTGAATTAACCCATGGAATTCAGTGGTCCATTTTCTTCCCAAGAACTTCCATAACTGAGGAAGGTTCAAATAAAAATATTTGATATAAATAATGATAAGGAGAACATCTGTACTTTGCATTATGATATACTTTAATCTGAAGATAAAATATTATGCTAAAAATAAAGGCATTATATTCTTTTGCTATGAAGAAATTAGGTGGGTACCAGGAAGAAGACTGTCTGTTATATGGAGTCTGATACCTTCCATGTAGCCTTTGTTAGTCCTTTCCTTACACGAGGCACCCAATGAATGGCATTATTACAATAGCAGATGTTGCTCCTGCTACTCAGCGTTATCTTATGATACGTTTTACTCTAGGATTTAAGGAAAATAAAACATTTATTTCCTTTTCCCATCCCCATATTTCACAGTGGGGGAAAAGCTTAGTAGGGAAAAACAGTGACAGACGCTAAATTTATGTCTGGTGCCAATCCTTGCATTTCAGTAAGTGGGACACCAGTGAGGAGTCTTCCAGGAAGAGTTAAAGCTGAGAGAAACTGGTAAGAGAAAACCCATCGCTTCTAAAAAAAGGCGGATGCAACTCAGAACTTTCTTGCTTCTGTCATACGTAGCAGTGGGATTTCAAATCCAGCCCTGTGGTGTAGGCTGTCTCCTGTTTCTGGAGAGCCTCTCATAGTATTTTTCCCTCCACTGCATTTTTGATTTTCAAGATAACTTAGGCACAAAAGGACATGTTTGTGCATTGACAAAAGGGTCTTTTCCAGCCCTGTGAGGTGTGTGGATGCCTGGCAGTGTCTTTTCAGGACTTCTCCAGGGTCTTTGCACTGCTCAGCATTGCACAGCCTAGAGTGGCTTTTCCACCACCCTAGGACCTTGAAGGAGGGTATGTGTATGAGGGAGAGAGGATAGCGTATATATATCCGCAGTTGCCTTCCTGTTTTTTCAGAGATTGCTGTAACTTGATTGAGACTTGGAATGAGAAATTGTATAGATCTATTAAGCTGTTCACTGCAGGCTTCACTCACCCTGCCTGTGGACTTGTCTTGCTGAGTTTGGCTCCTTCCCTTTCCTTGAAATAGCACACACAAACCTTGTTTTTGCCAGGCTGCAAGTGCTTGCTCATTCACTTGCTGCCTTCCTGCCCACAGGAATGGGGCTGGAGGCACCCCTTGTCGAGCAAGCAGAATGTTCCAGTGCGGCTCTGGCTGGAAGCTCAGATGGGCCACCAGCAAGACTGAAATGGTATTTGCAGCTAATGCTGCCACCACCTGGCAGCTCTTTCCCAATCTATATTTAATTAATTCTCCCAGGCTTCACTATGTTGAAGAATGAGAGCTCCATATTAAGAGATGGAGCCCGGCTCCAGAGGGAGGGAAGATAATTTCAAAGGTCGGACTTCTGCTCTCAGTTACACCACTGAAGCACTATAATGACACTTCTCAAATTGGTGCAACTGTGTTGAATTTAGACAGATAAAGCTCTGTGGGATCCAAGTCAGTAGAAATATTTTAGAGGATTTGTTTTATTCTGGGCAGCAAAGTGGTTTGTACTTGATGAATTTCCAGGTATAACCCAACATCAATACACAATCCAGTTGTCTTTGAGATGTGGTTTTAGACTGCAGTTGGAGGTAATGCTGGACACTGTGGAAGTGGTGGTCTCCAAGGCATTAATGCATTGGAGGGAAGGAGACTATTTTAGAGAAGTAAATAGCAGAAGAGTCAGGATCTTTTTGACTTTAGAGTTTGTAATTGGAGCCTCGTGTTTCTGCAGATGGTGGCTCTGTTCTGAGAATAGCTTTTCTCTGAAATTTCTGGTCTCTTCTTGTAACTGGTAAGCAGGAGATTTTCAGGAAGGGATTGTTACCAGGGAACATGGACACAGCACCTTCTGCAAATAGTGAAAAGTTGGAAATGAACACACTACTTTCATTATTTCCCTATGCCAGTTATTCAGTGGAAAATTTGTCTTTACATACTCACACTCTCTAAAGTAGTTTAGCCCCATAGAAAACTGGGCATATCCTTAGCAATCTGAATAAATGCCTTGTAGAGCTCAGCTATACGCTGCAGGAGTGTGAACACAGAACTAGGAGTCAGGGATTGCTCTGTTTCAGACGTGGGCCTGACACTGATATACTGGGTGCCTGTTGTCGGGTCACCTGCCTATGATGGAAGATCAAGTGATCAAGTAACTGTAAAACATCACTGTAAATGGAAAGCATTGTCATTGCTGAGCATTGCTATGGTGCTGGCAACTTGTATGGCTGCTCTGTTTCAGCACAGCAGCAGCTCCTCAAAGTTTGATTTGATCTAGAAAAGGATGTGGATGGGTTGACCTCAAGAGAGCCTACCACGGCTTCCCACAAGGTTGTGGATGCAGTGTCAAGCTGAGTCTTTTAGAATGGTGGTAGGTATTAGAATGGGTTAGAGTTACAGGGTCGAACTTTGTTATGTGTTCTCTGGGATCTCCATTTGGGAAACATGACTTCATTAGTATCAATGCTCATTGGTGAAACTGAGAGCAGAGTTGGGCCCACAGCAATCATGGCTTCTAGGGAGTCTGAGTTGTTCTTACCTAAAGCTGAGAAGTGGTAAGATGCCATCAAGAGCTCCTTCAGACCCTTCTTACAGTACACTGATAACTAGTGCACCAGGGAACCAGTACTGGGCAGATCAGAGTCTGTCCTCATGGTCACTCACCCATAATAGGACAAGTGGAGTCTGCTCTCTCATTCCCTTAGGTATGGTAAGTACGGCAAAGGGAGGCAGCGCTGGCCTGGTCTATTGAATCGTGTTCTCAGTAATTGATCTGCTCCCTTCCCAGTGGTTCTTCTGAAGGTTGCACATGCCTTAATTATGTATGCATGTCCTGTCAATGCATATTAATTGTGTTACGCTTCTCCTCTGCAGAGGGAAACTTGCCAACGGCTGAAGTGTAACTAATGATGCCAAACCTTCTCTGGAGGCGTGTGGTTGTTTTTTTGATTTGTTTTAATTCAGCCCTTTACCCTCCCTCCCTCTCTCTTCAGATGGAATTGATTGGACCCTGCTATATGCCTGTGGTTGTGATTTCCCTCTCCTTCAGTTTTTGTGGCTAACCTGGTTCCTGTCTTTGGTTTTTTTGGGTGTCGCCGTCTGTGCTGTGGCCATGTGCTCACTTGCATGCAGTTGAGAAAAGGGCCTCCGGTGCCTCCGCCTCCAAAAGTCACCCCCTCCAAGGAGATCAAGCAGGAGAACATCATCAGTCTGTTTGATGACAATTTTGTCCCTGAGATAAGTGTGACAACCCCTTCGCAGGTTAGCTGCTATGCCCTGCCTTATATTTGTCTGCCTCTGAACTCTTCCTTTTGACTTTTCTTCTCTTTGGAGGTGTCAAGCCATGAAACCTGGTCAGGTTAAGGAGGAAGGAAAGGTCAGGGCTGGATCTTGGAAGGCAAAGGGGTAGTTAGGAGGCCATCTTAAAAGGAAGGGTGGCTAGAAGGCAGTTTTGATTGACCCTTTGAGAGCTTTGATTCATAGAAGAAACAGGAGAAATGCAACTGGTGAAGATGCCAGAAAGTAATCACTGCATTAGTTAAGCAGCAGCGCACAGGGATTATGGCTCCTCTCATGTCCCATGGCATGGTATCTCCAGACCCACTCATCGTGGGTGTGGATGAAGCACATGTTTTCTGCTCTTGTACATTCTCAAGTGCTGACCCTGACATCTGTGCCAGTTCCTGGGAGAAGGCAGTATCATGCTCTCTATGCCTTGGCACATGGGCTTTGTGGTGATGTTTAAAGCCACACCTGCACAGGAAAGGCCAAAAGAAATTGCCTGAAGTTCTCGTTACAGAGAATGGGTGCCTCCAGGTCAAATGGGCAGGACTGTGCCTGCTGCCAGTTCAAGGCTGCTGACACAGCTTGTCACTCTTCACCAGTCAGCAGCTCCCATCAGAATATTTCTTTCTTGCCATGTGGCACCTTTTGAAATCCTGAAAATGGAAAAACATTTTCAAATTATATATTTTCCTCTTCGCTTTCCTTATGATTTACATCACTGCAAGAGAGGTTGCCCCAGTGAGGAATTCTGTGTGGAATCTAGGAGAATGGCAGTCCTTATGTGTATAGGAGCCTGACCAGATTTCTGGCTGTATCATGAGACACCTACATCTACTTTTTTATATATATGAAGTATGTATATATTTTTTTTTCCCAAAAAATGCTTGTTAAAGCACAAGTAATGTCTCTATCAGTGCTCATCTGTGACTCATTCCCTAACTTTGCCTTGCATCATGGTGCTCCATTGCCTCTGGTTTGCCACCTTCCACCCAGCTGCTGAGTAGCAGAGATGGAGTGGGGAGGGAAGGATGCCCATGTCAGGTTTTGCATTGCAGTAGATAAATCTTGCAGAGCATAGAGATAATTTTCCAGCAGCATTGGAAGGTGGGGACCACAGGCAGCTGAGCAACCCTCTATCATTCTCCGTGCTTCCTTCTCCTGTATCATAATGGACAGATCTCTCTGCCCCGTGGTTTGTACCATGTGTTTCCATGTGAACGCCAGCCCTTAGCCAGACATACGCTTCTACACCTGATCAGAGTCCTGACCCAGGACGGGATCTGCTGTGACATTCAATCAGATGGAGTTTGGGGGAGACCTCTGGTTGCCAGAACAATCTTCATCGAAGCACCAAAGCCACTAGCATTCAGCATGTTGTCCAGAGCCAGCCTTTGGTGTCTCACCACCAAACAAATCTAAAGACTGGGATTTGAGCCTCTCTGCCCTGGATATGCTGGAGGAGCATACTAGAATGCAAGTTGATTTTAGCATACTGGTCAAGATTTATTATTGTGAGACGGGAGAGCTTGGTTCCTTGTGCTCATGCCTGTTGATCTCAAAAAGAGATGTTCGTAAGTGAGAGAAAAATGTTAGAGAGTTGGAGTAAGAGCAAGTTAGAAGAGGTGAAGATTATGGTGGTGTGGGTTGTGTTCACAGGACTTTCTCCTAAATGGGGTCTCTTGCTACTTTCTAGGAGTTTTTTCTATGGTGGGACTATGATATAACTGTGGAGACCAACCTGCCAGACTTGTTGAGCTGTTGGAAAGGTAGCTAAAGCAGCAAGCTTGGGAGGTCAGTGGAAAAGGGGGCAAATATCCTTGGACTTTTCTGGAGAGAGCAGCTTCCTCTGAAGCTGAGTAGAAAGGAGTGTCTTATAGTGGTTAGATTAAATCTAAAAAACAGAAGTGATAGTTCAGTTTTGAATACTAATGGCGTACATCCTTTGTAGTGACTATTTTATTAATGGTAATCAGGGAATGTGCCATCAGGGTCTTTAGCTAGAGCATTAATCAGTCAAAGGGAGTTACTCTGCTGATTTTGAAGATAGTAGCAAAGTCTTTCAAATTTGTGCTTTGTTAGAAGACTCATGTGGGTGTGTTTCTCAGATGTCCAGATGAAAAGCATTGGAAACAGCATTTTTTGGATTGAGGAGTGATTCAAATCCCTCAGGTAGGGTGAGGTGCCATATTCTGTGTTTCTGTCTCAGGAGGAAGGGGGAATTAAGAGCTTTGGGAGTTAGCTCTGAGGTCCCATGGACTTGCCTTTCAGAAGTTTGAGTGATTTTCTTCCTGGATCCATGTTCTTGAGACAAATTGTATGGATGGTGGCTCTTCCATATGTGGCTGACAAAGTCTGTCCTGGGCCTTCAGTACAAAAGCAGCTGGATGAGCTATGGGGAATAGAAGGGCTCATCTTCTGTTTATATCTGAGTCAACAGTGGCAGTGATTCTTTTGACAACAGCAGGTCAGATGCTTACACCATGTCAACACATTTGGGCAGGTGAGAAGACGAATGAGTCCTGTGGAAAACAAAGGTTTGGTTTGCAGTGGCATCCATGTGAACTGCCCGTGATCATAGGCAGCGAGCAGTCAGGAGTCACATCAGGTGTTTGCATTGCCACCACATCTTTTGCGCTTGCAGCCTTAGCTCCTGGACAGCACGTGCCCTCCCCCTACTGTGCGTGTGTGTGTGTGTGTCTAACGCTCGTACTGCTTTTCTTCCTCACTGCTGCCAAGTTTGATGCCCCTGGGCCCTTCCAGGAGGGAGCCAGCCTGTTGGATCTGGATTTTGATCCCATTAAACCAGATGCCACTGTGGGGAAGACCCCCACGCCCGCCTCCCAGGTTGGTTCACGTCACCGTTCCTTCTCCCTTCCATACCTGACTTGTTGCCAAGTGTGGTGTGACCTCCACCCACACGAATGATAATGTGGACCTGAGCTGTGGGTGGCTCAGACCTGTGCCTTGCAGATGGGAACCTTGGTCTTCTCTGCTGGATGTGTTAAGTCTGGTGGGAATCAGGTGGATATTGGCCAGGCAGCAGTCTGGCACTGTGTTTGTGGGATGCTTGTGCTTTGCTCTGGTGATCTACTGATTGACAACTCATTTAGATTAATGTATGTCCCTCCCTAGATTAGCATCCTCTGTATGCTATATGCATTTAAACTGGATAGGAATTCAGCCTCTCTTCTGTGCTCCTGCTATAAATTGCTCTCAAAGGGATTTTTAATAAGCAGACTCTTTGATAATCTGCAGTTACTTCAGGTGAATAAAGCTGTAGATGTCTATCTACAGGCCTGCACAACAGACTTTTGTAGCAATAAGACCTCTCTTATTAGAGAGATCAAACATTAAGCATTTGATTCTTCTAAATTAAAATACTGTATCTGCAAAATACTAGTTATTATCATACTTTGGTACACACCAGTATAGCAAGCTACCACTTTCTGGAACTTTAAGTGGGCAGGTTGGCATTTTGTGTCTACTTGCCTGACAGAACAAGCTACATGCCAGGATAAGCTGTTTCGGTTTGAGGTTTGTTTTTTTTTTTAATTTATTTACTGAGAATTTTTTTTCCTGAATCACCGGTCATAGCCTGGATAATTGAGTATACTGGCATAGGATACGAGTATAAAATTGGCTTAATATGGAATTACTTGTTACCCTTCTGGAAAGCAACAAATACTACTCTGAGTAGGTTTTTCAGAACTGCTCAGCGATACTAAGTTCAGTGTTCCAATGTATTTCTTATTACCTTCAGAAGTCATTAAGAGTCTGAAATCAATACTTTCTAATGTTAACCACATCCTAGCAAAAAGCACCTAGTTTTCAAGGCAGTCAAATTTATTTCCTATAGGGTGGGCACTATGGCAAAGTAGTTCAGATATTTCACTACTGGTCTGACAACACCAGTTGAAGTCTTGTTCTGAAATCATGCTAACTCTACTGGGTGTGGGTATAGGGGAGCATGTTTAACTCTAATGGACCACAAACTCCTGAGGTTTTTTTTCTGGCTGTGTTGTCTGCCACCGATAATTGAATGTGGCGCGGCTGCCTCCTTTCATACCAGAGGTAGAAAAAAACCCCCTTATTCAAATGCCTTGGTACTTAAATTTGACTATGCAGTGGGGAGGGGTATATAGATTCAGGTACTAAAAAAAAACATTTTAAAAACATGCAGAGATAAGTGTTGTTGAATGTTTATGTCTGCATCAGTCTGATCAGCATCTGTAATGTTTGTACTCACTGAAATAATCACGTATAAACATGTTTTATTTTTGTTGCTCTTTGACATGCTTAGTCTTTACCTTGGGATTTATGGGAGGTAAGAACTTCATATGGCTTTCACCTCTCATCATGTACTGTGCATGTTGCAGTGCCATCTCTGTGTGCATACCTGTCTCCTTTTCCTCACTGCTTTTTCTTCCTGCTTACTCCAACTCAAAGTTGCTCCATGTGCTGCTGAACCCACTTTTGCACTTTCTGTGAAGCCCCGAGGGCAGCCACGTGTTTGCAAGTCAGGTCTGGTGCTCTGAAACTTATGTCTCCACCAGCACACAATCCCACTGCCTTTCCCTGCTAACTCACTCATCTTTTCCTTGGCATGTGCTGTGATGTTATCCTCGAACTTAACCCCACTGTGGCATCGTCCTCACCCTCCACTCCCCAGTATTTCTTAAACTCTATACATCCTGTTGGTCTTGTGTGCGATGCACAAATGTCTCAGCTGCCCCTCATCCTTACTGCCTGTGTCACTGGGTATCCATACATGTTTGGGATCATCTGTGGTGTTTGCTGCTTGTTGGCCGTCATAACCAGAAAGGCTGGTGTGATATAGCTCAGCCTGTGTCTACACTGAAAGTTAAGTGCAGGCCCAAGATTTAGCTGACATCTGCCTCAACCTCAGCTTTGGAGCTTGCTGCCAAGGGAGACCCTACACATGCTCTGCATCTGAACCAAAGTCAGACCTTCATTTGTGCCCTCTAGCTATATTGGGCCTGGGCAGGTCTCAGATTGCTGCAGATTAGCCTGTTGGGAGATACTTCAACCACAACTTCTTCTGAGCCCCTCTGGACAAACAGCCAGTGGTGTGGACACTCAAGCCTGCTGCTTAAGCTGGCTCTATCCCATGGTGCAGATGTAAACTCATGCCCTTGGCTGATACTGGGGAATTGAGTCCTGCCAACCTTTCCATTCTCAAGGATCAGATCACCACCTAGACTCAGGACTTGGGAGGACACGACTTAACCCTGGCTGAGGGCCTGGCCCAAGGACTCACTGCCCAGTGTTCTCCTTCACATGAGCTTGGGTCATATCAAGAAAAATGTATGTTTTATCACCCATCAGTGTTTAACATCTGTCATTCCCCTGTATGTGCATTGTCAGTCTGTCTTAGTAAGAAAGAGAAGAAATCTGTGTTCTTGCAAGGAAAGATCTCGTGCCTTTCGAGGCATCCAGAGGCATCAAGGCACCCCTGCTGGGATGGACAAGGGTGAGGTGTGACTGTATCTGATTGAGCTGTGCCTACTGTCTGGGATGTAAAAAGTGTTTTGGGCCATTTCTTCCATCCTGGAAACTGATTTTATCCAAATGACAATTTAATCAACTGGGGAGTGCTACTAGACAAGATGTTCTCACCTTGGCATACCATACACAGTTAAAGAGCAGAGCTCCCTATAGCTGGGTAATCCTCCTCTTGCTCTTCAAGCCTTCTGCAGTTTTTTTGCTATAATGATATTCTTAGCTGTTATGAGAGGGATCTTTTTGCATGCCATGAGGTTAACAACCGCATAGAAACTTGGTTGCAGGAGAACTTGCTTAGTTTTGCAGACTAGGAAACTTGCATTTGGTGTGTGTGATGCTGCTGTTGGAACAACCAAAGCTTTCAAACCTGGTAACAGGGATGCCCACAGGTGCAACAAATAGAAAAACAAGTAGCTGACATGAAAATGCCCTTTGTTGAAATTCAGGGGATTAATTTAGATTCAGTTTCTCTGGTTATTAAGTACTGCTTTAGCAAACTAGCTGCTTTTAAAAAAGAAGCTCATGTTGAGCTTATCCACATAAAAACTCTGTTTGTCCAGATAGAATTGGATGGACACCTGTCCCAGTTCCAGCTTTGCTGAATCCAAATAAAAAGCAACCTGGGAGTTAATCTAATTTACCAGGAGAAGCCTTTGTAGTGTTTCATACACATACATTTACTGTAGCACCACCAAAGCTGCTGTGGGAATGCTCTGCAGGATGGGAACTCTGTAACATCCTCTGGCAATATAGACCTGTGGACATGGCAGTGGGGAGGCATGAGGAAGGAGGTGATAGGAGAAGAAAACTTGTGTTAAATGGCACTATTGGAGCAGCCGAAGGTAAAATAATGGCTTTTTGTTAAATTAAGGATGTATTTCTTTGTTATTGCTGCTGTTATTAAAAAAAAAAATACTTGGAGCATTGTGCCAGTGTGTGGCTAGTGGGTGTGGAGTTAAGAGTTAACCATGGTCAGTGCTTTACACTGTGCTTTTGTAGGGTTGGGGCTGTGAGAATTGCAACATTAAGAAATCTGCACAATGCCTTGTCTTGAACATGGTTGTACTCAGGGGTACATACATTTACCCAGTGTATGAGGCATGCTAAAGCACATTTATTCACATGTTAAAAATGGGAAATCTCTGCACAGCAATCTCTGTTGTGCAAGTATGAAGTAGGAATCTGGTCAGATTCTGCAAAGAGAGGTGTGTGCTATCTGGTATAGTGAAGAAGTGGATATAGACTGACCATGAAGACACTTGGAATGCAAATTAGACCCCTGAGATTCTTGTTGGGAGTCTTCCCAGGTGCTGCCCGCCTCCCAAAGGGCTGATCTGCAGCATTGATGCTACCAATCCAACTTACTTCCTGCATTGCTGCAGTTTCTGGGAAGGGCAAATGAATAGCTTTGATTTTGTGTTAAAACACAGTTAGCCTGACTTCAGGCAAGGGAGAATAAAAGCTTGAACCACTATAAGTGTATCAGAGGTGTTTGGCTGGTCTTTTACTGTGCACAGAAACCCCTGTCCCTGGGCTTCCTCAAACAGTGTCTGCCAGGCAGTGGTCTGTAGGTGATGCTGAGTATTTCTCCCTGGTGGTGGCAGCTTTTGTGCGTTAAAAACTTCCCTCTCCTCACCAACACAAATGTGTGCACACACCATGGGGAATATTCATAGCAAATTCTCACTAGTGGAATATTCACAACAGAATCAAAACTCATGAGTCTGGACATATCCAAAATCAAAGTGGGTGAAAGTTAGCACAGTTTTCAGTTCAGTTTGCTTTGGTGCTACTGTCATGTAGATGCTGCAACCAGACTAAGTTCCGTATCTGGACACACTATTGCCATACTCTTCTGGTTCTGGGAGCATGCAAAGGATTAAATATTCCTTGATTGTTGATCCTTGGAAGTAGCCTATTGAGAGATCCTTGTCCCTCGGTGTGCAAACAGACGTATTCCCATACAAGTGGGCAATCTATAGGAAATAATAGATACCGTGCGTGTGTGAAGTAGGTCTGCAATTTAGACCATAAAAAGAAAGAGGCGCAAAGGATTTTTCTTGTTTCATTTAGTTCCTCTGGAGTATTGCCTGCTGCGTGGCTGGAGTGAGGGAATGCAGGTTCACTGGGTTGCAGAGAAAGAGGGAGACAAGAAACCTAGTGAGATCCTGAGATTTCTCACCTATTTGTCAGCAGATGGCAGCAATCAACCGCATAGAGCACTTGGACAGCCTGAGCTGCACTTTTCTGCACACACGTGTAGCTGTAATGAGCCTAACTCTCCACCCGGCTGGCTTTTGTATTGCAGCCTGCAGAAGCAGCCCGTGCAGGAGCTGAAGCAGCTGGATCAGAAGCAGCAGCTGGAGCTGAAGCATCTAAAACCGAAGCTGATTCAGGATCGGTAAGCACCTTGAATGACAGCAGTGCCTTCTCTCTGTCACATCCCTTTGTCTTACAGCAGATGTGGGAGGCTGGGCTGGGAAAATGTGTGGCTGCTTGGAATAACACATTCCTGCCACTCCAGCAGTTACAATGCTCTTATTCAGAGGCCAGTCTTAGCCATTGCATTTTATTTGTGTGATGCTTAGAGAGAAGATCTGCTGGAAGAGCCACAAAAAGAACTGTCCCTTCACCCAGGTTGTGAAGCCAGCCCACAGCCCATGCTGTGCTAAGCTTGTGGTGTTTGCTGAATTCTTCCTTGCTCACCATTTCCTTTAGCTGTTCTCTGGGCTCTGCCTCTGCCCCCTGAATATCTAGGGTTCCTCTTTCTTCCCCAGACACTGCCATCTTTTTAGGGTGGCATCTTATGGCCGCTTGGTTCCTATAGGCTGTTACATCAGAGTTGTCTGTTTCGAGAGGGCTCTGTAAGAACTTCATTGTGACCACAGTGAATGGGAAATGCCAGGCATTATGGGCCCAGAAAAACTCTAAATCCTTTCTGCTCTTCTGCAGCCTTAAGCACAGGAAGGCAGAGGTCACCTCTCCTGCCTTCTCACTGCTGCCTCTTCTGTCCTTTGGGGTGTTTTTGTCACTGGTGTGCTGGGAAAACCCTCTGAAGCCATGGGTAGGGTTGGGATGTGGATCCTCCAGGGCGGCCTTGGAGCTGCAATTTTGGATTCTCTTTTCTGAATGGCTTTTTTCTTTCCCTGGCTGCTGCCACCTACCAGAGCCCTCTGCCTGCTGTCGTTGTGGAAACTTTCCCTGCTACTGTCAATGGCACTGTGGAAGGAGGCGCTTCCTCTGAAAGAGCTGACATGCCCCCAGGATTTCTGTTCAAGGTGAGTGCGTGGTGGTTGGGCACTGAGTTTCTGGTGATTTTTTTTTTTTTTTTTTTTTTTTTTTTCCCCTGTAATGAATTAACTACTTTTGCTCAGCATGGCCAGGGGCTATGCCTCATTGAAAGGGAAAAAGAAAGTTGAAGGAGAGATACACCTTCCTGTCCAGCAGCCTAGCTTCATGCAGTTCCAGATTCTTCAAAGGACTCTATAAGAGCATTGGTGTCTAAAAGTCTGGCTGTGCTGTATAACAAAATCCCTTCTCCTCTCTGCTGCAGTTACTTCTGTCTCTGGCGGTAGGGTAGTGTCAGTCACAGACTCTGGGTATTACATAAAAAGCTGTGCTCCAAACTGCAAAAGTTAAACTTTGATGCAAGTTGCAAAAGAATAGGGGTTGGAAACACTAGTAGGGACTGAGGACTTCATGTCTGGGGAAATTAAAAAGCTAGGATGAACAGAGAAAAACATAGGATTAGACAGCAAAGTAGGGTGGATATTCTGAATATGCCAAAGATCACTTGCAGCTTGTTTTGAAGGTGTGGGGGAAGGAGTGATTCTGGATGAATGTAGGCCACAAAATTAACATGCAAAATACAATACGGTGGCAAGACAGCACAGATGCATCATGTCCTGAAAGTGAGAAATGATAGTCTCCTTTTTTGTTTGTTTAACCTGCTTTAGGAATGTTTTTCTTCTGCTTTAATCATGTTCATGCATCATTTTTTTTTTTTCCTGGGAGATCTACCAAAAGCAGAATGAAAAAACCCTGAAGAACAATAGGAGGCTCATCACATTTTGATAGGTTATGTGCAGCACTTTAGTGCTTGAAGTGGAGAGATGCGTTATGAAGTAGAAAGGCTGTATTGCAGATATTGATAGGAATTAGGCTGAATACCAAAGAGAAAACACAGCAGGATACAATCACTTGAAGATCCAAACTTGATACCCTTCTCTGTTTCCTCTCCCTGCTTGCTGTGACGGAGATGGGAGGCTATAATCTCTAATACTTTTGCAGTCCAGCTGCAAAAAAAAAAATATATAAAATACAGGGCACCATTTGAGTGCATACAGGCTTTCTACATTGTGAGGTTTTTAGGCCCATAAGATGGGAATTCAACTCTTCTAAAAGAGGACAGGGAGGAGGTGCTGATGTGTACCAAGTTGAATGAGATGCACCAGGATGCCCTTCTGCGAAAGACAAGCTCCATGCTGGGCTGCATGAACAAGCACGTAGCCATTAGATTTAAGAGAAGTGTTTATCCCTGTAGATGTGGCATTTGTGAGCCAAGCTTGCCCTGCGTTGAGCAGCAAGTTGGATCAGATGGCCTTTCATCAGATGGCCTCCAAAGGTGCCTTCCAACCTGAATCATCCAGCCAATCAATGAAGTGGAAAGCCTTGTCACCCGTTACAGAGCTGGGTGAGAGAAGGCTGGCCTCACCCAAGCTCTCTTCTCCTCTCCCCATAGGTCCAGGCCATGCATGATTACACGGCCACCGACAGTGATGAGCTGCAACTGAAGGCTGGGGATGTGGTGCTTGTGATTCCATTTGAGAACCCTGAGGAGCAGGTGAGTGGGGAAGACAAGGTGAGCCTGGGCGTGGGGGGAACCAAGGGGATTTCCAGAGCTGCTTCTTCCTCCACTAACAGTTGGCTGGCTGGGTGCGGAGCCATCAGTTTGTGGCTGGGAGCTGGCGGGAGAGCTTGAGGTTGGCTTCCTGCAACAGAGGAGGACTCTGCTTTTTATTGGAAAGTAGAGACAATATCCTGCATAAAGCATGTGAACTAGTCATGGCTTCCTGTCACTAGCAGGGCATTTGAGCCAACGCAGAGCCTGTATTTTGCCTCCTTACTGCTCCTGAACTTGGTGCACATTTCGTGGGACCACTGCAGTGCAGACTGTGGCATTGGCAGGAGTGACCCACAGCTTATGATATTTTCTCCACTTTTGAGAAATGCTGGAGCTCTGAGAAAGCAGCTTGCCATCGATCATGTCTTGCACTTCAGCATAGCAATGCCTGTTTCCAAAAGACAGTGTTTGGTCAGGAGATGGCAGCAGAACCAAAGGCTGGAGCAGGTTGCTCAGCCCCCAGAGAACAGCCTTACTGTCCATCTCCAATCTGAATTTAATTGGCAATGTTTTTCTAGAAGCCTTGAGTAAATCCTCCTCACTTGCTGTGTTTGAGGGCTTCCAGCTGATGCAGTCTGCAGCAGTTTTACTACTTTGGCTGAGGGAAGTGGTGATTTTATAAAATTCATACTCATGTCTCCAGATTTTTGTTTGGAAAAGGAAGGGAATTCTTCAAATTTCTTCAGTAGTCACCAGCTCTTTGGGTTTGGCAAAGCCCAGAGAAGATCTGAATTCCACAAGGAGTAAAGGAAAAGTGGTGTAGTTCGCTGGCCCCAGAAGATGTGAATCTTCTTTGTGGCTCAGCTGTTGGCTTTGTGAATTATGGAAGCAGATCTTGCTGCTGCTTGTGAAATGGGAGCTATGATGTGCTGGCAGTTCCCATAGAGCTAGGTGCTCTGGGGGGAAGGGTTGTGTGGGGAAGAGGCAGCGATTCCTTCTGGAGACAACACTGAGTGGGACTGCTCTGCACAAGCATTTTGGGGCATTTCTTTCTCAGAAAGCTCTCTGGATAGGAAATGAGTGGCAGCTCCCCTAGTTTCTGTGGTAGGAGATGGCATTTTTGGAGCAGAGTTTTTCAATGCCCTCTGTTTGCACTTCAGCTGGATGTGGGTGCAACAGCCATGAACTCGAGACTCTCCAAGCTGCAGAGGGTGAGCTCTGAGTGTTGCTAACATGATGCTGTAGCTGCACTGAAGCCCTCTAACCCTCCTACAGTGTATCCTGTGCTACAGCTCATTTCCCTAACCCTGACCGTATCCAGCCAGGAGACGCTGGCTGTTAACATGTGCATGAACTGTGCACGTGAGTGGAGGAAGCTTAGGATAACAGACCGTGATCCATGTCCCTGCCTTATAGCTTAGGTCTCAGTCTGTGGGTACATCAGCCAGGCCTGGATTCATCTCTCTTGACGGTAAAAGGGGTTGAGGGCAGCAGCACTTCAACGCTGGCACTTCAAATGACGTGGTTCGAAACGGGCGAGGGTCAATCTGGGTCCTCGAGTCTAATCCCTACAGCTGAGGAGACCCTTGGTGGCAGGATGCAGTGGGGGTGATGCATGCTGTATGGCACAGACGCTGTGTGCAAATGGATGAGCTTTTGTGCTTGCCGTGCTGTGAGCTGGAAGCTGCCTTCCAAACACTTGGGCCCAGCATCTTCCGCCTAGTCGTTTGTCTTCCTGATTTATGGCGTGTCAGTCCTTCCTCAGCCCCTGCAGCTGGCTGCTGCAGATGGGCTCCTGTCTCATGCCATTCCCATGACATCTCCTGAATGCTCAAATCTCAGGTAGCAGCAAGGGCTAATTGAGCCTGCAGGCACCCAGCACAGCCTGCAAGGAGCAGGGAACTCGGGTACGGTGGCTGGTTTGAGTTGCAGCCACGTGACACGTGCAGAAACAAGACAAGAGGACAGAACTTCAAAAATGGCAGTGGAAAGCAGTGTGTGCCTCACAGATCACCCCTGGTGAGGGCTGCATCACTCCTGAACTGTGCAGGTATGTTTTTAAAGAACAAGTTTCAAGGGAGGTGTTCCTTGGCCTTGGGTAAATACTCGGGTAACTCCTGCCAGTTCCAGGAAAGGAGGAGTGTGAGCTGCACATGGGACGCCCCGTTCCCCCCCAGCTTAGAGCATCTGATTGCCTGAGCGTTTCTGCTCTGGCAAGTTGTGTAGCTGGATGTGATGACATATCTCTAAATGAGCCTGATGCATGCTTGCTCATCCAGAGGGGTGGATGCAGAGCAAGCAGGTTTGGAGGTGGTGGTCCCCTGTGCAGTTCTGATGCCTCATGCTGCAACCTTAACCCATGGGCTGCTCCACTGCAAATGAATGGGCACATTTACAACGTTGAAGGGGTGTTTCCCTGGTGGCAGCTCCAAGGCATGCAGTGAATAGAGTAGCTGCACATCCAAGCTGCAAGAATTGTAGCTTTCCCATCTTGAATATCTCATCTCCCTCATGCTCAGGTGGACCATAAATGTTGGTGCTGGACACCCTGCAATTAGCAAGGAGAGGGTAGGAAATCTGATTTTTGTCCTGAGCAGGTTCTACCAGGCAGGGCTCCATTTGCATCCCTGTTTTATAGATCTATAGGTTTGGTGGCTAGGGAGGGCCCTTGTGAGAAACCTCGAATCTTACACCATGTGTAGCACAGGTTGGGAAGTTCTATCAACCACATCTTGCATCAAGCCAAACAGCTTGTTGGATTTTGAGAAGATGGGTTGAGGTCCTCAGCTCCCAGTTCTCTAGATGAAATTTTCAGCACAGCAAGCAAGACTCATTTTGCCTGTGTCATCTCTCTAAGATGCTAATCACCCAGGTGCTGTGACTAGAGCAGGGCATGAGCACCTCCAAGGAATGACTTGTCCTTTCCTTTTCAAAGACCTGTGCCCAAGATGAATGGGTGAATTACACTGTGGAGTTGTCCATCTCTTTTCTGACTATGGAGAACGCTAGACCCCTCATATTTAGATAGTGAAAGGTGAGGTAGGTGGTTCCTGCACTGTAGCTCTAGAGATTTTCTTTGGCAAAATTTGTCCTGCTTCAATGGGTGTAAATTATGACATGTTTCTATTACACTTGCTAACTGTTTAGAATTTCACTGTCTCTAGACACTCTGGGTCAGATAGGAGTTTTGGTGGGATGTTGTCTTTTCCCAGGGAATGTGAATGAAAACGTGTTTTTTTTTTTTTTTTTCCTTTTCCTCCATCCTCTTCCTGGATTGTCTCCAAGCCAACTACAAGCATGGCTTTGATATGCCTTGACACCTCCTTGGCCTGCACTCCGTAAGAAAACTCCCTACTCATATCTATCCCTCAGCATCTGATCTCTGTCTTCTTCTCTAGGATGAAGGATGGCTGATGGGTGTGAAGGAATCTGACTGGATCCAGCGTAAGGAACTTGACCAATGCCGAGGAGTTTTCCCAGAGAATTTCACGGAGCGGGTGCAGTGAAAGCCCCAGCCCACCAGCCACATTTCTGCTGGAAGAAAGCAAGTGTTCTGGTAGATAATTGAAAAAGAACAGCGAAATGAAAAGAAGAGAATTTTAAAGGAACAGAAGCCTGAAAAAAAAGAAGTCAACTTTAAGGGTGTGTTCTTCTCAAAGGGCAAGGTTTCAGAAGTAAATTGAAATTCAAAGTGTTATCAAAATATATAGTTATTAATAATAATAAGGCAAGTTGAATACCCTCTTCCCCCTTTGGTTTTAACAGCATTTGGATTCAGAGGACTGATGCAGAAGCAACTCAGTGTGGTTCTCTAAATACTGCATTGACTGAATTGGCGAGATGTCAGTCTGATCCCTGGAAAGGCAGTATTTGTCTAATGGCTTGAGAGTAGAAGCTGCATTTGCTCTTGGGTGGTTCATCTGTTTTGTCTCGAAGGTAGCTTGCATGGCAACAGTAAAAATTCAGCCTTCCCTACGTGTTCAACCTACAGTAGGCCAAACTTTCTGTTATGCTGTTGAAAAAAATATTTAGCGTATAGTGTTCACCAATACAATGTATGTGTGTGCGTGTGTGTATTTTATTTTCTTCCTTTAAAACAGTGTTACACAAACTGTGATTTTGTACGTGTAAAGACAGAAGAAACTACATGGAAAGGGCATGGAGAAGATGAAATGTGTGAAGCTGTGCTCAGTCCGAAGTTCTTTCAAATGCAGATACCTAAATTCTTGCAGTAGTATTGGCCTGTGAAATGCTAAGGGGAATGGACAAATTCAAGAGAAGAAACAAGACAAAACAAGCGGATGCCATTTGGATGGTGCTGAAATTTAGGCGAGGGAATCCTCTGCCCCCAGAACCCTGTTGTCAGTTTCAGAAAAGCTTAGAATCACGTAGATGAAAGATAGATCTCAAATCTGGTTTGTTAGAAAATTAACTTTTAAAGAAGGAGATAAGGGAAGAAAAATTTTCTTCGGAAAGAATTTCCCAGAAAAAAACAATTTGCTTTCTGTGTTTTTAATTGGCATTGTTATTTGTGGAATTGTGTATCTTATATTCCTTTGGAGAGTTCTCTAAGTGAAATACTGTTAGATCAGCTTTCTCCAGTGTTGTGCTGGTGATCAAGGTAACTTCTAGGAAAACTGGACTCTTGAAATGCTCATTTAAAATGGCTGCATGACTTCATGATATTTTAATGCATTAGAAAGGAAGGCAAGAATATCTAAGTGTCAGTGTCAAGAAGACCCTGCAGTCTGGTACTGATGCTGAGACCTTTCCAATACCTTTCCTTTGCTTCTGTTTGTTTTTGAGTTGGTTTTTTTTTTTTAGTCTAAACAAGCAGATGACAAGGCTGTTTCAAAGTGCATATTACACTTGTTAAAATAAGCTGGTCTGACCCTCCAAGACTCTAAAGTCCCACAAAGGTACTTTAAACTTTACTTGAATACTGATGCAGCTGGCAAGCAGGTCGGGCTATTATAATTTTTTTTATGGTTTTCCCCTCACCTTCATGATCTTTTTGCCTTGAAGGGATTTTTGAACAGTGAAGTTACCTCCTGCTGTAAAGGAACAGGATCACTCTCTGAAATAATCTTCCTAACTGTTAGGAGCTGGCTTTTGTCAAAGATGCACAGAATGCTGACACACACTTCCGAAAATCCCACCTTTTCCAGTCTGTTCTGATTATTTGTAGGAAAACAGTGAAAACATTGTAGGGCAAAAGTGGATATATTTTTTTTAATTTTAGTTCAGAGGGACAGATCAGATTTTTATTGGAAAGTAGATTCTTAGAAATGCAAGAATTGCTGGTGTTTCTCCTGCTTTCAGCTTGGGAAATGATCTGTGCTAGTTCTTTACAGCAATGTAACAGGCATCAAAATCTGTCCTATATCCTACATCCCTTCTCCTTTGTTGTAGTTTTTTTTTTTTTTTTTTAATTAAACATGCAGGAATTCATATTTTACATCAGTGTTCCAAAACCCAATAGTATTTAGGGGTAACTGCTCACAATACAGAAGGACTGGACTCCACAAGTTAGAGTATGGTGAGCCATTGCTTTAGAATGCTGCCCTGTTTGATTTTTTTTTTCACCAGGTTTGTTTTTATTATTACTCTTTTTTTTTTTCCAAAATATCTATTTTTATGCATTTGTGACTCCATTACTCCTTTAAAAATATTCATAGAAAAATATACATTTAAATATACATAGAAATATATATATAAAAAGCGGGTTGATCCCCCTTTTCTTTTTTTTTTTTTTTTTTTTTTTTTTTTTAATTAAACATGCAGGAATTCATATTTTACATCAGTGTTCCAAAACCCAATAGTATTTAGGGGTAACTGCTCACAATACAGAAGGACTGGACTCCACAAGTTAGAGTATGGTGAGCCATTGCTTTAGAATGCTGCCCTGTTTGATTTTTTTTTTCACCAGGTTTGTTTTTATTATTACTCTTTTTTTTTTTCCAAAATATCTATTTTTATGCATTTGTGACTCCATTACTCCTTTAAAAATATTCATAGAAAAATATACATTTAAATATACATAGAAATATATATATAAAAAGCGGGTTGATCCAATTAACATAATGCTGTCAGCTTAAAATGTTTATTTTTATGCAAAACCTGTGGATTATTGTTTTTTAAAAAAATGACAAGATTCTAAGTACTAGAGCTGTGATTTTTTTGTCTTGCAAGTAATTGTTCTAGAGCATTTAGAAAGCTGTGCTGATATCTAATTTATTGTTGGGTTTTTGCTGTTTTTGTTGTTGTCTTCTGCTGTGTTTGAACCAGATGACTGTCCCAACAAAAATCCTTGTAAGGCCTTTTCACTTTATTGAGCTTGCGAAGCAACTATCCAGTACTGTATTGTCCCTGCAGAAGTCGTAAAACTCTGCAAAAAAGGGATGTTGTTTTCAGGTCACGTGAGTGATGCTCAGATACTGCTAGTGGGGAGGATGTTGCATCTCTCGCTCCCCTTTTACTGCCCCCAACCCAAAAATCCCAACCCCCAAACCCCAGTTGCTTAGAGCAGGAAGGGTGAGTTACCCGGATCCTGCGTTGCTCACGGAGAAGCGGTGGCAGCACATCCCAGTCCAACGCAGGATTGGACCCACAGTTTATAAATTGCCTTATATGAGAGTAGGATGGCATAGCATGAAGCTTATAGATGGCAATGTTGTTTGGAGCTAGGAGATCTCTTCTCTCCTGGGTCACGTTCAGCCCATTGTGAACAACCACAACTCCTCCCATTTTCAGTATTTTTACATCTGCTACATACCTTGATTCGGGTTGGTATTACCTGGTGAAATGAACTTCCCGTTTTCTTTGGCTTAGGACTGATTCCAATAGAAAGAGTAAGAAATTCCAAGACTGATTCCAAGAAAGAGTAAACTGCCAAGTAGGCTGTGCCCACAGTGGTTTTTCAGTTTGCAGGCTGAACTGAAAAATCAGGGGAAAAATGTTGTACGGGTGACCTGAAGTTGTAAGGGTGACCTGAGATTTTTTTTTTTTTCATTTTCTCAGTGAAATGAAAAAGGGAAAAATCGAAACATAGAAAAAACTTTAATCATTTCAGACCCAAACGAAGCATTTAATTTGTAGGGTTGCTTTCTCACTTTTTAAAAAACATTATTACTTGGACTATAGCAAGTTGCTTTGAAGCAAAAATGTGAAACCTTCTGTTTTGAAAATGCTGAAAGAAAATGTTTTAATGTTAATAGTCTTTTTGCCTTTGCCTTTTTTTCTTAATCTGATGGCTGGTTTCAGTTAACCCTAAACTGCATTTTTTGGTGAATATATTATCCACTGAAGAGCACCTAAAGAAGCCTATTGCCCAGTTCTGCTCCACTGACAGGTACACTGGACACATTTCAGGGATTACTTGGTGTCAGCAAAGCTGCTGTTTCCCATCTAATAATCTTCCACTTTATTGTTTTACTGGTTGAACAATAAAAGCATCTCTCATCCCATGCCATTGACTGTTTTGTAGCCTGGTTTAGAAAGACGTTCTTGCTCTATTGGTCTCAGTTTGGTCACAGATTTGTGACTACAGATTTAGGATGCTACTCCAATTTGAGCCTAATCCCATTGTGCAGTGGGAATTATCGTTTGCCCAACTGATATGAAAGAAATAAGGCATTGCTTTTTCTCCCTTTTTTCTATCTCAGCGATGTCAGTAATATGTCTTTATTAGATAGAATTAGGGAAAGGTCCCAAGGTAAAGATGAATGTGTTGCTCCAGGCAGACTCCTGCACACTCTGTGCTACTTTCCATGTGTGTTCCTCAACTGTCTGCTTTTACCACCTTTGTGTTTCTTGGCTGTGAAGTAAAAGGGATTGTGCAGGCTTCGCTCCAGGTGCTCAGAGCTAGTCCTGCTTTCTGATCCGTTTGCCACAATTATTGAAGCCTTGTTCAGGACCTTTTCCTGTCCCACCATCCAAAGACCGTGGTCAAGGCAAACACCCCCAGGTGAAAGGGGTCTCTCTTTGACCTGGAACCAGGTGTAAGGATTTCATATTCTGCCTGGAATTGGGATGTTGGCTTAGTTAATTTTGCAACAGCTTCTTGAGGGGAAAAGGCCCAAAGCTAAGGAGATACATTATCTTTTTTCATTTTGGGTTGATGTGCTGACTGCTTCACCTCTTGGTCCCCCCTCTATATTTAGGGCTGAGAACAAAATGTGAGTGGTCAAGATATGCATGGTCAATATGGTAACGGGTGTCTCTCTCCTGCAAAGGACACTGAGTTCAGAGTTTCCCCCTTTCTGCTCTGTGCCAGACAGAATGAATGCTCTCTGCCACTCTTGTAGATGTTTTGGATGCTGTGCAGTCCGTACCCCAAAACAAGTGGATGTCATTTGTTTAGAGGATGCAGAGGTGTCTTTCTCAGCCCTTTCTAGGAAGAGCTACTGATCTTCCACAGACAAGGCCTGTCTGCTTCTAACACAGTAGTCTGTGCTTTCTGCCCCCACTCTCCAGCTCCTCCTGCTTCACAACCTCTCCCATGCTCTTTGAGGATGACAGTAGCACAGGGCACTTCCCATCAGCCTAAAACGCAAAGCTAGAAGATGCACCGACGTGTCCATCAGCAAATCATTCGCAGTGCAGCTTGATAATGTTGATATTAGGAAAACAAGAAACAGCTTTTCTTCTGTGGGCTGCCAAAGAAAAGCCCTGCTTTGCCACACAGGAACTGTCACACTGACACTGGTGCAGACACCTCTCTGCTTGCATGCTCTGGTCTACACGTTTCTGAGTAGCAAACTCCTTACGTGAAGGTGTTCTGTGTGACCCCCAGGGCTGGACTGTGTCAACAGCCCTTGTGAAGCTTGGGGTCTGTAGCTGGCATGCGGGGGCTGAGAATTAGACAGTAATTTCAGAAATTTATTTTGTGAGACTAAATGGAGAAGCTACAGCTGTGAAGACTGGTCTGTACGAGCTTGTGCTTTTATGGCTGTAATTCCTTCACCTTTTTTTACAGTGTATTCTGCTAATCCCATCCCTAGTCTGCATTTCACGTAGATGGTCCCTACTTGGAACTTGCCAGGTGCAGTCCTGGGCTTATTGCTTCTCTTTAACTGAATCAAATGGCAATGACTTTGGCAATGTATTGGCAATCTCTTTTTCTTCTGTTAATTTGGTCTCTGAGTTTAACCACAACGACCTGAGAATTGTTTGGGTTTTGAGTGTTTTTTAAAATATTTTAATTTTTGTTTTGTTTAAACAAAGCTGAACAATTCCCATTGTATTCAGAGCTGTGATGCCCAGTTCCAGTGACAAGTACTAGATGGATTTGTCCCATTTTGTTTCTTGGCAATGTTCAGAAATATAATTTGTGTCATCCTAAATCCTGTGTCAGCTCTTCTCTTTCTTACTTTGCCCCCATTTATATTAAGAAGCTGAAACAATTTAAGGCTTCTTTCTTCTCGAAGAGGTGAGTAGCTTCAAAAAGATTTGGTTTGGCTCCAAACCCAGGCTCCATTAACACTGGGAGTTCTTACAAACGCAGGGGGTGGAGAGGGTGATGCTGGTCCTTCTCTGAACGAGTACAACAGCAGAACAGACTCTTCTCGCAGCCATCTCCTCCCGTCTGTTGTGAGGACCTGACACCAAACGGATGCAGTGGATGGAAGGATTTGAGACCTTTGCTTTTTAGTAGCTACTAACCCCAAGGTGATGTGATCTTCATCCTCTAAGGCAAGTTGGTTGATGGGAATATGACTCCACTTGGGCACCCTACCCCATCTGGCCAAACATCTCCCACCTCCCTTCTCCTGTTGGCACACCCGGGTGAGCTCTGAGTTTCCAGGCTGGCTTTGGGGTCTGCCCTTCAATGGGGTGTTTTCTTTACCTGTAGAAAGGGGGTGCTTCTGCCCTTTGCCAGAGTGCTTTGGGATCCTGAAGAGAAAGGATTAGAGGGATTCACAGCTCATAGCGGACCGTTTCGGGGCCACTGCCTGGGATGTCTCATTCCAGCCAGACTCGGTGCAGCCACACGTGGGACACGGTGTGGAAATAGCCAGCACTGGGCAAAGGTTGGGATAGGATCTGATGCAAATCAGTGCCAATTAGCACTTTGATGAATGGACTGCCAGAGTCCTCCGCTTTAGCATGCGGGTGCGCACGCCTGGGCCAGCCCAGGGAGCCGGCCAGATGGTGCCTGCACGGTTCCTTCATTTCCAGACGGCCTGGAGACTTTA